GAAAGAGATGAGGGGAGCACAGATGGAGCGTTGCGGAGGTAAGAGCAAAAGCTGTGTTTGCAACGCTAAGGAAAAATCTATCGGGGAAAGTAGATTTTAGTTGATCGTCTATTTTGATATGATGACTGTCTTCTCCAGCGTTCTGCCATAGCCCGGACAGAGAAAAAAAAACTAACGAAAAATACCTTTCGAACGTATAGAGTAATAACAGAGTTATAGGAAAGCTATACAGAAAGCCTTCTGAAAAACGAGAATAACAGGAGACTGTACGGAGACAATGGGGCCGCAGCAGGTTCTTTTCGTGTCACCCGTCATCCTCCTCTTCGTCTTCCTTTTTTCAAGGCAACGCACAAACAAAGGTTTGTCGAAGGACAATGCGGTGTCGCTAGCCCCTTGTTCTTTGAAAGCACGGTCCGCAATCACACTTGAAATAATGGTAGACAACAATCTGAAGCTGGCCCTTTATCTGCTGTCATCGCCATCGCTTCCGATATATATGTCGAACTCAACTGAAGCAAAGAACGAAGCCCCCATAACAAGTGAACAAGAAGAAATTGCCCTCCTCCTCGCCCCCACGTCATCATCAGCGGCAGAAAAGAACAGGATAATGAAGTGAAATTATTATTTTTCCGCTTTTTTCTTCCAAATGGTGTAGATACAGAAGAAGTTATGGTGATTAGTTGGAATACCCTTATTCCCGACATTTCGTAGAAGTACGGGCTAGCGTTAAAAAGCTCGCAATATTGAAATTGACAGTGTGTATACACACACAGAAGCTTATGCAAGACTCGAGGACGTGATACAACTATTCTAGTAAATCGACTAACGTTCTCTGCAGGTCAGTGACACGATGAGATAATTGCAATATGGATCCAACACAAAAGCACTAATATGAAGCATGATCATTCCGATCAATTTTTTAGTGATGTCACATAGTCCTGGGATCTAGCATTAATCGCAAAACTGCCTGCGTACTGAACACATTTTGCAGCCAACAAACTAGGCCTATGTTGATTCCTTAAAACGTTTCAGGACTGCGTCAGCCTTCTCTCATCTTCGAAGTAAATTATTTAACCACATACATTGAGAATTGTCGATAGGTGAGATCCTGCTTAATCGCCACGTCAGCTGATAAAACAAAGTCCAGTATAAGCAGACGGCTGACAACACTCGAAGGTAGTGAAGATGAAGTAGAGACACAGTGAGCACAATTGTATTTCATTTCGTTGACTGGCCCGATAAAGTTGACATCGATCAAATGGAGTACGCTACAGCGGAGAAAATAAACACTCATAGTGGTAATTGTTATTATTGATATCGCATACATGTTTTACGAGCAACAATAAAAGCAGAATACACTAGGAGACATCACTGAACATGACTGTTTAACTTATCGGAGAGGATGAAAATCGACAAAGGCTAAAGGTTATGAATCCATTATGAGTAGCCGGTAGCGGGTGTACTGACGGAACGCTGCAGTGCGAAGGGGAACGCAGCGAAGAATTATATGAGTGACGAAGATAAAATATCATAGGGCATGATCATGACGATACAATGATTCTGGTCGGCTTCTTCAATTGCCGACTCTAGAGCAGCAGCTTGTACAATCTAAACAGACAAACGGTAACGGCGACAAAAAAGGGTGTTCATTGTTAATAATAATCCATGTAACATTTTGCCTTTCGCCACGAAGTGGTCATACACGCCGCCCGAGAGAGTTCGCCTGTTAAACTTTCACGGACAGCTAGAACCCCGTCTATATAGTCCCTTAAGGAACATTCTTGCTAACACTACCCCAACGTTCTGACGATGAGCAAACAAGAGGAAACGTAAACCTGCCATTATGTAATAGTGTATGTGTTTACTATCCTGTTATCCTTTCCATTTTTGTCTGCGAACACAAATCGATAAGAATAGGAATCAAAATGATGACGTAATTAATTCACTGCCTGGCTTAGTTTGAAAACGAGTAAGTAATACGTACCAGACCATTTCTAAGGGAAACTGTTTAAGGGTACGTTTAGCTGCCCATCAACACTGCTTTATGATTTTTGCAAGCTCGTAAGTAGGAACTTGGAATCTTTTAGCTCATCGCGCTACTGGTTGGAAGAAAAATAATGAAAAATCACCGTTTAGTGAACCAAGTTGCTATCGTCATACGCCAGTAGATTGTATCAATCCAGGTAGCACTACAATAGCCGAATTCAGCTATAATACTAGTATGTTTATTTTTCCATAGACAACTTTGAAAAATCTCAACGATGTCCGTAATTCAATTATTGTTCCGCCTGTTTTATGAGTGGATGTGGACCTAAGCAAATAATACTAAATAGTATTTAGGAAAGGTTGCGGGAAAATGTGATGTGTGACAGCAGAAACACCTAGCGTATTTTTAGGGAGAACGATGACCTGAAACTACTACAAGCTCAGGCCATTTAAATCAAATGGTTGGGAAGACACGCGATTTACTGATGTATTTTATGCCACACACTCGCTAATGAACTCGTCATTTGCAGTATGGTCTAAACCGACCTGTTATATGATCAATACCTAATATTATTCTATGGTAGAGAGTGATTCATTGACCAGTCAATCAAGAGCTACTTTAACGTTGCCCCATCGGTAGAAACAATAGAGGCACATAGATGTAGGAACCTATAGTGACAATAATTCACAGGCGTACTGACAATTCACTCGACTGCTAGATAAATATTGCAAAAAACAACAACAACAACAACTAAAACAAACGCAAAAAAGAGACTAAATACGCTATGTTATTGCGTGATGCCATTTAATTGTCGACGACAGCGACCTCACCCTGTTGAAACGACCACCACCGTTATTATATAATAGTTGTCTATTAATAACATGGGACAAACCTATAAATAAACGAAACCTACAATGCACGAAAATCAGAGCAGACACTACAAATAGACCTTGACACTTGTTATCAAATCAAACATGTATAATAATTACATGTAGCATTTCCGGGAGCGGGAATTCATGGGGCCGAACCAAAACATGATAGCATGTCTATAGAGACAAGCTGAACCACAGTTATATCTGGTATCGAATTCGCGACAAAACTCCGCATAAATGACATTCTAGATAATTACTTAACAAATGCACAACTAATATTATCTTCGTATCTTGCGCACCGTTTATACGGAAATGGATCAATAAAATTGAGACGAAACAGGAGGGAAAATCGTACGGAGTCAGTTACGCAAAAAAACCAAGCTAATAAAAGAAAAATCAACACGTGTTATTATACTATATACAACGACGACGACTCATGAAATGCATTTTTGTTAGTATCGATATTTTTCTTTGTCGTATAGCAAGCAAATCATGGTGAGGTCCAGCAGGACCGGAATAATTAGAAAGGAAGCAAAATCATCGTAAAACTGCCCATTTTGCTAATTACAACAATGCGCTATGGGTTTCGTTACGGTGTTCAGAATGAGTCAGAAATAATACACACTACTATACAGATGTTCTTGTACAGATGTAAACAAGGTACACAACGCATAGGCTCCTACACGAAAAAGTCTGTTTTTTTTCGTGTGGGAGCTAAATTAACTAAGTTAAAAAATATGTAGAAACCAAAGTCGCTCTGGAGACTGTTGAAACGAGATGATGGCATTGCTAAGGATGAGTGGAGACGACCGCCGAAGCAAGAACAAGCAAAATGGCAAAGAGTAGAAACGACTTTACTAGAATGGAGGAGACAGCAAAAAAGATCGACGTAAGACAGTCGCAGTCACCGGCCTACCAAATTTATGTAGCAAACTACGTCTGTCTGTTTAGAACGGACGGCAGCAAGATAGTATATTCAGTGCATGCATCCGTAGAACATCAAATAAATGAAGAATGATGACACAAATTTTAGCAAAGGTTTAGTGATAGCTGACGAGAACAATTTGTAGTTCGTGATATGTTGATGTAAAAAGATCGACAAATGAGATGAAACGAATAATATGGCGAAAGGAAATTACGAGAAAGAGAGGCCACTTCGAGAGGAAGCGAACTTGACAGGAGTACAGAACAAGCGACGCCAGTGAATGTCGACCAGGGTCGGCTTTTTGTTTCTGGCTAAGTTCTTTGTTTCTAGCAATACGGTCCCCGAAAGTAGCGGGGGGCTGTTCTGACTTACGCTAATCGCGGTGTTCATTGGGATTTAACACGATAGCAATAAGAATGAGAGCAGCGTTGCTTGCCAGTGAAACTCTCGAATAGGTCGTCTATGGTGCGAGCAGTACGCAGATAGCGCAATAAGCAAAATCCAGTCGAAAAAGGTACGAGTATGTACGTAAAAAAAAACTGCTCGTAAGCGAACAGGAGGGCAGGTTAAAAAAGTGAATGAAAGCGAAGATTATGTAATAATAATCATACCGTTGTCGCCAATGCGAGGAAAATACGTATATGCTGCACGAACGAGATGGGTTCCCTAAGTAATGAGATAGTAGTGCACGTTGAAAAAGAAAATAACTGTAACAGATAAACAGATAGGGAAACGGAAGGGGCGCAAACGCAAGCAAATAATGATATGGGAAAAATATGATGCTGATAATGACAATAACGCTAATAGTTATACTATTAATCATAATGATGACCTTACATCATTGTTTTAATGTAATAATGATGAGAAAAAAAAAACCCACATTTAAAGCGAGATTGAAAAGTACCTAAATATAAATTGAGCATTATGCAAAAAAGTGATGTTTTCTTTGGCGATCTGTGCGACCCAACAGGTCTATGGGCTAACAACGTTGTTTACCGCTTGAAAAATAGACAAAGTCAAGTTCTTGAAACACTACTTTTTTTTTCAATGAAAAAGATAACTGTAAATATACAGAGATTGAATATACAGTAATTTATTAATTACACAGTTGCTCCTTGAATTATCTAGTTATCTAAGGTTAGACGTTGTAAGACAACACTTTTGGCCGTCCTTTCAGCGCTGCACCGTATTTGCAACCTGTCAAAAGCAGCAATTCCGCTTAGGAGGCTCACCGTTTATGTCTGTTCGAGCAGACGAACAGCAGGAAGGTTGTTGTTGTTTGCGACTACCCAGAAAGAAAAACTTGATAATCTAATAGGAACGTCCGATTACGGGGGGAAGTCGCATTATTGCCAACTGCAAACTTACGTGCAGCTGCTAGAATGAAATCCAAAGGTTTAGCCTGCCTATTTTAAAGCCATAATTTAGTGAATCGCTTTTGTAGACGGATTGTTATTATACATGCTTTAGCCTGGCCGGCAATGTTCTAGTAATAATGCTCGTTGCTCTTCTCGCACTGCAGCGAGCAGAGCAATTTTTCTTAAGTCCTGAACGGAATCCCGTTTCATGCTCCAGGACAACTTCGTACAACAAAGTAAGTATTCAAAACACCAATTTGCATGCGTAGCCAGTAGTTCTTTACTGTTCCCCATATCGGTCCTAAATAGGGTGAAAGTAGTCGAACTGACCTCTTGATAGTGATTTCGAAAGGAATAAACGAGGAAGCGCACCCTCAATCAACATTTACGAACTTATTCGTGCTCATATAGTGGCCACCTGAAATTTTTGTGATCACGTGGACTGAACGCTAAGAAGGCTCTACAGTAAATGACTTTAATAGATATCCTAACGGAAGGATGCGAATCTCTTGAGAGAGCTCGCGTGGAAACTAAGAGAGCGTTTGGGGCGTTGATATGATCTAGCTTCAACGCTTAAGAAACGAGAACTACTTATGTAATGAAACAAGTGAGCGCAGCCTGTAAAAAACACATCAGACTTCTGTCTTTTGCAAGACAAATACTTCACGTTTTTAACTGTCTTATTCGCATGTTCAGTGAAGATGCGGCTATCAAACAAAGGAAATATACCTTGATACGGTACGTTTATGTAGTCATTTCTTACGGCCTCTCCGCCTAAACGTCATGGCTGTTTCTCTCGGGTTTAGCTCTAGGATGCTTCTCCCATCCACGTATAGCTTAAATGATAGCGACATTGTCAGCAGGCAGTAACGTATTATTGAGCTGTCGCAGGCCTGTCGCCAATTTTGGCTGGTCTGAAATTAACGCAAACAGGCAACGCATTCTGGTTATCCCCCTGAACGCACCCTGCAATCACAGGAAAGACCCTAACCTCGCGACATCCCCTTCGATAAAGACTAGGTTTGCCTGCAGCAGTGAGAGCAAGGCCGCGGGAATATTGTTTGCCATTTCCGTCGTGGCCAGTTTGGCGATAATCTTATCTAGGGGACCAAAGGAAGTAGAGGTACTTACGAAGTTTCTACAGAGCACGTTTGTTGCCATTTAGAAGAATCTGTTATACATCAAACGTCAATTGGCTACGAAAGGGTCCATATTGCCTGTTCGGCTTTAAGGAACTTTATAAGTCTGTAAGTACCGCTATTCTTGTGATAGCGCAGTGATATCGTGTCTGCCGGCCGAATTTGCGGACATATGGTGGTGGGTGGTTTAGGTCCAAACCGGTCGAAGGTACATTTCGTTGGGTACCGTTAGCCAACTGTCTGAAACAAAGCTTAATAAAGCCAGTACTCGACGTAAGTCCAGGCATTTATTTATCGAAGGTACTATTAAGAGGGGCTTGTAATAAAAACTCGTTTTTCACAGGTGCCAGCTTTCGAGTTAGTAATACGATTTCTACTGTCATTTGGGATAACTAAGCGAAAAGTAATCCCTCATGTTGGGGGTACGCAGCCAACGTAGAGTCAAGCGTTAACAAAGCCGTCTAAAAGGAAACAGACAATAAGATTTCTTGACGCTGCATTTTTTGGGCACTGCTTGCTGTAGAAGTCTCTTAGGGATGAAGATGCGTAAGAAAAGCCACGATTTTTGTTACTACGAGTTCGTTTTCTACTTAATCTCTCATTATTCTTGTTTTCCTAGGTCTTACAATAACGCTACGAGGTCCACAATACAGTATCCACTGATATGGAGGTTTCACTGGTAAGTTTCGACTAGTCTCGCAGATTACGTACAAAATCTGGGTGTTACCTGGAAATTCGTAAGGCTGTTTAGGGATAGCGGCTTATTTCCGACGTCGTATTCCATATATCTATGGGCACCATTTCTCGCTAGGGACAGCCGGAGGTTCTAAATTATGCTACAATTCAGCAAAAAGAACGTTATCACTTCGTACAGAGCACTATAGCCAGGTCGAACCGAACCAAGGCTTATGTTTGATTCGATTTGTTTCGGCGATTGAGGAATAATGGTTTCCTCGACGGTCTTTGTGTCTTCGCCCACATTTAAGCCAAGACTAAAGAAAGAACCTGCTTGATGGAAGAAGCTAGGGAGTCCAGGTAGTTCGAGTTGGGTGCGTTGAAACTAGGTATTATTGATAATACGGGTATATCAGTACCCATGGCCGCTCTTCCTGAAAATAGTTATTTTAGGCGAAAATACCTAATACATAACCACTCATTTAAACTCTTCAAAATTAGGATAATGAAAAACGAATAACAAATTAATAGCGGAAATCCGCGAGCATCCTGGATCGTCCAACCTGGCATTGTAATAACAAAGATTTATTACGGGTGTCGTAGTGGAACACATGATTTCGAAGTACTGAATAAGTTCTTCAATGGTCGTCGACGGAGACGTCTTTTGGCATGTCCTAGAATAGTTCGCAGATACTTCCATCTCGAATATGGCGGATAAATAGTGTACCATTAAACCCTAGGCTATTTGAGCCCTTCGTGGTCTCGTTCGGTCACATTCGATGACTATCAATACCTTTTGTACGAGCGGAAGCGAGAAGTGCCAAGAACAGAGCACTTTATATAAATATTATTCACCCTAGGTTGCCCTAGCCGGCTCTAGATTTCCTCCATTATTTTCCATTGGTAGTCAGTTTCGATATGGATCCTTGATGCCTGTTTAGTAAACACCTGGACGGTGTTAGAAAGAGACACCTTGAACTCGAAAAAATCCACTTGCGGATTTTTACTTCGTTTCGTCCTGAACTGTCGGCGATTTTCGTCTCGATATTTAATGCGGTCTGTATTGCCTAAATAATATAGTGCCCCTTTTTGCAGCTCATCGTCACTTTGCGTGTAACAGGCCTCTCAAGTCTCCCGGAGAAGACTTGAATTTTCCAATACATTGTCAACGCAATCTATGTTGCATGAAGACGTTCTGCACATTGTACCAAAGAAAGCAAAGAAGTATTGAGCTTCGAATACATTTGTAAAATTTATAATATGTTAGATACACACGGTATTTACCTATATCTCAATCTATGTTGTTAATAGGATAACTAATAAAATTAAAGTTCTCAGTGTCAGCAAAGTAGTTCCGTCCAATGAGTTACTTTTCGAAACGAAGCACGCAATTTCTGTGTTGGCAATTTCTAATAGTTATAGTTTTCAAATAATCAGTGCCACATTAATTTCAAGGTAACAAACTTTAATTTTTATAAAAATTTTCATAAAATTAAGTACAAGTAAGCAATCCGTGTTTCAGCGTTTGTGGTCATGACTTAACGGAAGGTGATCTCTATTGGCCGAAAAGAGGGGCAGACGTTATTAGATCAATGTTTTAGATCATTCCAATCATATTTAGTATCACTAGCTATAACAGGGCGGAGGGCAACAGGAGATTACATTTGCAATTAACCAAAAAACAAAAAAAAAACGCTCTTTCATCAAATAGAATTTTCAGAGGAACACTTATCCGGTCCAACTTCTATTATCAAACTAGAAATTTCCCTTCTATTTTGAAAGAGAACAGTTAGCTTATTTTACGACAGTTACAACTGTGAATATAATTTATTGTCGTCGCATACGTTCGTTGTTGTCCTATACGCTTATGAGCAGCTTTCTAGTTACTGTTTGTCTTATGAAAAAAAAAATTATAATTTGTATAATATTTCAGACAGTTTCAATGCCAGTCAATTCAAATAATTTAACGATATTATCAGGAAATGCCAAAGCTTCTTCTCCTAGACGGTGAAAAATGTATACAATTTCAATTGTTTTTATCAGCTTATTGCGACATGAATTAGCAATCTAGCTTAATACATAAAAGCCGCTATTCGACCTATATTTTGGCAGAATTAATAGTCTTCTTTTCGCAGCATTAAGAAACAGTGCACATAAACCTGTGTTCAAATTAAAAGTAATTACTAACGGCTGACTGACAAAAATCTGTTGAAGTTTCGCTGTCGGCACTGACAGTTTTTAATACAACCACAATTCAAATGAATTGCACTTTCTAAGGTGGCGTTCAGGTGATGGTCTACATGAATCAACTAAGAACTCACATTGCCCGAAAAACGCTGACAGTTTCGTTGGCCGTCGCATTGACTAAGGGTCGACCGCATAACACCAGCCTACTTCAGGCGCATCCTGGGCCTTCATGTTTTGGCTAGAGATCAATTTGTCGACTTACTTTGTGAAAAATATTGATTTTTTAAGGAGCTGAACCGGTGATTCGATTTGAAAAAAATAGGGCTTCAAAAATAATTCACACGTGAATCCGAACTAGAACCGAGCGATATGGACCCAGAGTGCTACAAAGCCGGAGAGACAGTAGAAGAAAAACACGCGGATTTTATCATGTATAACAAGCATATTGTACTTTTTCTTAACGCATATATAGGCTCATACATTCATATATTAGTCAATACGATTTGTATATAAATTAGCTTCTTTATAATAAATCATTACAGAACGGCCTTTACAAAATATTACGTATAATGCCTTCTTTTGATCGGTTGAATGCGTTTTCTAAATTCCCTTAGAAAACCGACTTAATTAGTTTAGGCGAGTATCTATCGCCATTGCTCAGCAAATGAAATTAATGTATTATAATAATAAATAATAATAAAGTTAATTGTGATATGACGTTTTACAAATCTCCTTTTTCTCTTTCAAATTTCTTATGAATTTTCTAGTACTATGAGAAACTGTACATTAGCCAACCTTAATTCAAAACGCCACGTATCTATCTTCTTTAATGTTTATTCGAACGTTAATGAGGACGGTCTATGCTTAAGAAAATGATCACACTATGGTTACGTATCTATGGGGCACCGTGCACCAACTCGCTCTGAGCCGTTGCTAGGCAAACCTGAAATAATTCGGTTTGTAAGATAAAATCTCATTGGTTCGACGCAAAGTACAAGAGAGATTAATGGGTAGTGATTGCGGTAGAACCGTTCAGGCTAGGCTTGACACTTGGCCAACAAAAAATAACAACGTTAACTTGTGTGTAACCTTGTACGTGACACTTGGCCAACAAAAAATAACAACGTTAACTTGTTTGTAACCTTGTACGGTTAACTTGTTTGTATTTCTAAAGTTTTCAGCTCACTACAAACAAGTGGTGTAGGCTTATATCGCATAGCATAGTTTAACTGTTCATCTTCATTATAAATATCTAATCACTATAGTATAATAATTATCACTCCAACTGTCAGCCTGTGACGTCTTCTGATCTTCAAGCCACAATGAAAACAAAAAAGATTTCAACTAATCAAGCGTTGGTGTGACAAGTAACTCGGTGTTGTTTAGCCACGTACTGATGCACCTTCCTGCACTTGAGAAATTAGCGACGGAAAGGACGAAAATAAGATGAATGCTGCCAACATAGAAAACGCCTAGTATCATCTTTTAAATCTAACAAAATGAATTTTGATAAACACTTGATGTGTTTCTACTTGACATGAGGATCGCAAGAAATATGAATAACTATTTACAAAACAAAGAAAAAACTGCTCGTACTAATATTCTAGTTATAGCACTATCTTTCTGGACGCCCAAAATAGAAGATAGAAGAATCAAATTGATTACATTCAATGTATTTATTTTTTATATTTTTTTTATTTATAGTTTATTACTGTTATTACTAAAGTACTATGCTTCAAAATCATCACTTGTTAATCCTATAGGTTGTGAGCTTACCGATCTTGCATCCTGTCACAATCAATATGCTAAGCCGCCCACGCTTTTGCGGTAATTACATTGTTGGAAGCACCGAGCTGCTTCCAAACGAACATCCATCCAGCGTTTCATACTGTTTGTTATGCATCATACGAGTTTTAGAACTCATCGGAAACGGTTGATAACTTTGTTCGACAATGTTCAAAGTAACGTACTCAAATACTATTTCAAAATGTTTTGATGTCATGTAAAAATCTGTTTGTCGATGTTGAGCTTCAATTTTCATTATGAAAAAATCATTACGTTCTGATGGCTCCTATAATAGATGCTCTATTGCGACAACTCTTGAGCCGTCAAGGAGTAGCTCCACAGCTTCAGTGGAACACTCTTCAAATAGATTACGTTGGCAGCTCACTACATTGCAGTGTCTGGTTAAATAATAATACCGAAAACATGCAAACACGCCCTTGTACGCCCACAGTAGAATGCGAATACTGCCCAGGTTTGTTCGTGGGACACATCGCACGGTACTTTCGTGTTGATTTAATAACACATTGAACTATTGCATAATAACGTATTCATTAACTTAGATTTCCTGCCGGTTTCCAAATACATGGTTTCTCAAATTGAATAAACATAGACGGTATAGCTGATTATTTCTCTTATGGAGCTCAAAAGTGCTACTATTACTTTTGACTCCAAAGCTTTAAGTTCTCACTGATGATTGAGCGTGGTGAAAGTATATTTTCGCCATGGAGCGTCTTCTGTCTATTAAAAAATTTCCCGAGATCTAACTGCAGTGTGTAACGGCTTATTGACCTTCCAATATTTTATGTATAACAGAAAACAAACGTAGCTTTTTCCTAGCGGTAGCCTTCTTCCTCTGCAATCTATATTATCAAACTTAAATCTAAAACGGAGCCGCTTTGTCGATAATTTAACGATTAGCAGTGGTATCCAATTTTGAGAGCCGCATTGCGTTCGAGGTTTAGTTTCAATATCTAAAGGATTGCCAATATCCGGCTAAGTTCAAAATTACAAGCTTTTCGACCCCAAAAACAACTTTTTTCCGCAAACAGTGGGTACGTTTACAGAGATAGCAACGTGCCATGCATTGGCTCCTTTGGCAACTTAAGTTGTGTCGTATAAAAACCTTTAGACTTTAGCAGCGCCGAAGTTCTCTGTTAGCTCCTAAGTCACTTTGAAGCAGCACTCGATCGGAAACGATATTTGCGCATACTTTGAGGTGTCACAGAGTTCGGGCGTCGGACAAAAGGTCACTACACCTTCGCAGTATATACAATAAAGATCGGATGTATTTGTGCATTTCCCATAGACCACATCGCATGTCAGTGAGGCCCAACCTGATATTGAGCCATTACCGACCCAAGTACGTATTCATGGACTAATGAGGATTATCTTCCGAATCAGCAAATGTATTAGCTTTAGATGTTATTTAACAACGCTTTCTATTAGAGTTTTAGTGATTTTTGTAGCTTTAGCAAATCTATAAAGCTAAGGACAGCCATAACTATAGTAACAATTACTTTGTTAGATATTTCTACTGTATGACATTTCGACATTAATGACTAGTACTGTATCATGGTCCCTGCATCGTTTAGCCGGATATTGAAAAAAACTGAATTATTGCTGACTTTCGCAACCTTAAGAACAACGGCTCAAACTTTCAACGTCAAAAAAAACATTGTACACTTCTTGTATTTGTAAACAATAGCTCTTGCATTAGAAGACGAGGGAAAGCGTCATTTGCGCCAAATACGAAACGGAATAATCAGACAAATGTGGTGTTAATATACATGTTAATATGTAATGATAGATAAATGGATGGCCACTAGGGAAAAGCGAACGATAGCAGCAGCAGAAAATCAACGGAAATTAAATAAGGCAAGGATTTTGCCTTCGAGGCCTGTAACTACACATAATGTAACTCATAGTAACATAATCTACTAGCATAATCTGTGGTCGCCAATAGATGAGGAATAGAATGAGGTAATAAAAATAAACGGACAGTAATTACGACAAATGCATGATCATTTTGAGTGTCTGGTTCTAGCACGCCGACAATTCAGCCTACCTATTTGTACCTAATTAGGGCCTAAAAGGCCTTTACACTTCACAGTAAATCAAGTGCTTGACACTTTCAGCGCGATTTAGCTCTGATTTTAAAGCAACGGTATTAATTTAAACGGATTAATTAATCAACGGATTTTAAAGCAGCGGCATCATCCGTATGTTGCCGTTCACTAGCGATTACTGAAAACACAGGCCCACTGTTAAAATGTGCCTTCAGATCCTTTTTATGAATATTGTTATAATAACATTCATAATAACCGTACAGCTTGTCAACTATTTATGTTCTATTCAAAATCTACTATTCAAAAATTACTACTTTTTCTCTCTAGTAATTGTGCAAGTCATCCTCAGAATAATCTAGCAGTAAAACGGTACAATAATTTCATTGCGTTTGATAATAAGAAATGGGCTTAGCTCACTAACAGAAGAAAACGTCATCGTTACGCAGGTAAATATGTCTTGCACCACTGCAATAACTGGGTGCTTATTGATCTAAGGGACAGATAATTAGCCTCGATGTTTGAAATTTGGAGTTTGAATTCTAGGAAAAAATGTCGTTAATTTTTCATAAGGTCTTTTCCACGAAACATCATGCACGTATGCTGTCTGGCAAATCTGCAAAACACATCTCGTAACCTTTTGTGCTTTCTCAGCTAAAAATCCATAGATATAGTTGACAGATTTTAGATTTTAAACTACATCTGTTGTTTTTGACATTTCGCACTAGGACTATACTTCACATAGATATTTCCGGGTAATGCTGCATTGTTTTACAATGTAGGTGACAATTTTACGGGTCCATTTTGTGTGGTATTAAGGTCGTACCACTTTGCACATTGCAGTCATGAATCAACCTTTAATAGGCAAAACGCTACCATGGAAGAATTGAACACTATTCGGCAATCAAAATTTACAGCCATCAAAATTTGTGTAGCTGATTAAATCCGCGTCACTCTTACATCCATAACCTGCGTAAAGGCGAACAAATAGCGCCGTTGAAGACACATGAATGGAAATACAAAAAGATATACAACACCTTATCGCTATAAATCATAAGATGGAGTCTTTGTATATATAGCCCTCTAACCGTGACATAGGGTTATATGCCCGCAGTTACAGTTTGGGTGTAAAATACAAAGGCGCTGAACAGAATGAAGATCACTTTCGTTTTCATGGCGATGATTACGGCCTTTGCTGCAGGACAAAAATGCGGTAGACGCAGCAACTTACCGCAGCGTAGTGCATTTGATCAAGATTACAACTACATCGTTGGTGGTCAGGAAGCAATTCCACACGAGTTCCCTTGGCAAGTTTCGTTTCAGGTATGTACTGATCAGCACTTGCCACAAATTTGACCCTTGCTGCGTATTTGTCAATGAAATAGGGCATCTTGTGTGTTCTATTGTTTCCATTATGATCTCTTCATGATATGTACGCATAGGGAGAATCAGAATGCGGGCACTTTTGAGATCAGTCTACATTTACAGTACGACCCCGCCATTTTGACATATCCCTGGATCGATCCAGAGATAAACTTCGCCATCCCTCCTTTATTGTTTCCTAGACAAGAACTGTACTGAGGTAAAAATCCATTACTTAATCGCAGATCCTCGACAATAAAAGCTGGTGGCAACCTAACAAATGGACGCACAATTGTGGTGGGTCTATTATTGACGACCGATGGATCCTGACCGCAGCTCATTGCTACACCTCCGATGGGCTTTACCGCATCATAGTCGGTGCCCATAACCTGACAAAGAGAGAACCCACCATCCAAATTTTCAGGATTGAGAAAGCTGTCCACCATCCGGGATGGGACAAGCACCTTATGAAGGTCAGTAGTTTATGAACGTTTGCCATACGATTGCAGATTATTACATGCACGTACTTCATAGAAAACGATAGTTCCACCAATCAATAAATACGCTGTCACGTTTATCCTCGCAGTGTTACTAGAAGTGCAGCTCTAGATTGATTTTGATAATGCTTCTATAGCAATGTAGTTAGGTTTTTAGTTATTCTTCTATAAATCCATATTCCCTAACGCCGTGCTAACTCACATATCTTAACTGGAAAGCCAACAACACTTCTGCATACTAGCGGCAATAGCAAACACGTGTGCATTTCATAAAAAAAAACTGGTCATTTTGTACTAACGAACTCCGTTTTTTTGCACTGAGTTCTTCTAAAAAAATATGAACGAAGGTTTAGTGCATGCAACATAGATAGATTTTAGCTAGAACGTTTACCGCTGTCAGCGAATATTAAAAGACTACAATTCTGATTTGCTTTTCCGTGATCGACTCTCGAACATTGTGCTCGCGTCTGGACAGCTGTTAACCAGATCTACCTACTAATCGTTGTGGTCTCTTTGTGCATCTTTGAACCTGTCCCTAGGATGACATTATGCTTATAAAGGTCGACAGAAGCATCACCTTGGACGGTGACACTGCAGCTCCCATTTGCTTGCCCACCAGTGCAGATGAAAACGCTTTCAAAAATTCTATCTGTGTATCGACAGGCTGGGGCAGAATAAGCCCCCGAGGTAGCCTCTCTGATGTGCTTCTCAAGGCCGACCAGCCGATCGTAAGCAAGTATGTTGAAATTTCGGTAATCCTTAATGATTATGTGTGGTCGACAATGACGAATATGTATTCATGACAAGGTTATACTTACTTAGACGTTACGTACATGCTTTCCCCATGTTTCACCTTCAGCGCGATCTGTGAAATGCAACACCGTAACATACACAGAGTCCGTATCACCGATTCAAAAATCTGCGCTGGCTACGTGGAATCCCCTGGGCCAGGAACGTGCTATGGTGATTCTGGTGGCCCCCTTGCTTGCCTCAGCAACGGCGAATATAAGCTTGTCGGTGTCACCAGCTTTGGCGTTCTCTGCGGCTCCATTAATCATCCAGCGGTTTTTACGCTGGTGTCACACTACGTACCCTGGATCAATAACGTCCGTGCCAAGTATTAAAAATCAATATTAAATAAATAACTTCTATATTGAACAAATTTCTGTATATTATTTGTGGATTATTTACGGAACTCGAAGCAGCGACACCTTATATCTCACCAGAGGCTTAGCTGTCCAAGACACCGTGTAAATAATCGAAAAAATCACAACGTTCAATCTAGAAAAGCACGGTTTCAACAGAAGCCATACGAGTTTGTAAGAGACTATTTAAAAAAATAAAATAGACATTATTAGTGGAAGAAGTGGACTACGAATGCGACCTATTTAGGCTCATAACAAAACATGGAGAAAATCTTTCCCATCAAAGCAACTGGTTACTCACGACTTTGTTTGTGCTCTACCATAACCGAATTTCATATTTAACTTAGCTTGGCAGGTTGCCTTTGTTAGGATGCACATTAATAGAAATAGTGAACAACAGAATGTTATATCCTACTATGCACAGAGTTGGCTGGTTTTGAGTTTGCAACGCGCCAACGAAGGTCTATTTGGATAACTGACCATTTGAGAAGCTTACATTGTCCTCTCTGCATAATCGATTACTAGGATCGGAAAACAGTTGTCAAGTTCCTACGTAAAATCCGAATAAGTTACAACGAAAAAAAAAAAGTCGCGAAATACGATAATTTGCAAAAACTACTACTAGTAATTCTCAAACTTTGTTCTTTGCGTTGATTCTGCAGATTGATCTTCGCCACGTCGCTGTTATAGCGAAACGCCGTGCATAATCCACCCAACATCATACAGTAAATAATGAGTGTATTCGTTTTTTCTGTTATCTAACTAGTACATTTCTCCTTTTTAGGTATCGAGCAATTAGCTTGTACATTTCATTAATCTGGTCCCAACCGCACCCTTTATCTCTCAGCTTGAATCTTTAACCACCACGTTCTATGCTATCTTGCATATTGTCGAAGTATGTGTGCAAGCGGACTTCTATCATTGCATACATGTATATATGTATGTTTATATATATAACACTTCAAAACTTCACTCGATCGTAAAGTCAGGCGGTCAAAATCCAACGCCTCAACCAGCGTTCTGTTCCCACAGGGCGATGTTGGAAGCGGCTGAACGAAAAACGTCAGTAGAGAGCTCGTGCTTACAGTCGCCGCCGCCGCCGCCGCCGCCACCGCCGCCGCCGGTAGATAATATGTGGCAGAACATTTACGTGACAATAGTCCTCTTTGCACTGCTATTCGCTTGCTATTGCTTATATAGGACCACAATCGATGCGCACGTTCCGCATTTTCCGAAGTGCATCTACGGTTCGAAAGGCCAAGTCATGATCTGCGAAAATGACCTGGACTGGTCATGAGGCTAGAATATCTAACGTGTCAGAAATTTAGCCTGCAAGTAGATTTCAACAGACGCTCAAAATCATTCGTTGGGCGTTCGGACGTTCATTGTAGGAAACAGCAATTAGTCCTGTAAATTAAAAGGACTAGTGAGCCCTTGTGAAGGAAACAATGAGTACCCTGAGGCCACACAGGCGTCTATTTTTCCGGTAAACAGTACCAGACACGTATTGCCGTTTGTTTTCGGTGCGCTACCGGCGTAGAGTTTTAAATGACCGGCATGCACTGGAAACTAACGTGCGTTTAAAAAAAATTTTTACTGTGACTTTCCCTCTAGAGCCTTGAAAAACAGCAGCAACTAATAAACTTAATGTCAGCGAGTCGAAAACTCAATATTTAATTCCTTCAAATTAACATTACGAAATCTTGCGCCAGATATCGGTAGTAGGTTATGTTACCGCCGAGACACAGACCAGCTATCATTCGACTATATACCACTAGACGTTTGTCATTGAGTTCCGTGAAGTTTGCCGATGGTCTCGTCAACCACAAAAATTAGAGTTCACTTCAAAATTACGCAAAAAGACGCGATCTCTATTGCGAGACCGTCCCCTCGCCCACGAAGGCGAAAAAAATTTCAACGGTAGATGCATGCTTGGAATAGATACAGAAAGACCCTGGTAGCGATGTCTACCATCAGCACTCTTTATCTTCTCATAGCCTAAAGGCTACCTACGACGTAGAGAGGATATGGGAAAACGTCTACTTTGGAGCATCTAGATAATATTTTCGAACCAAGCTTCACTATACAAAATCTGCTTATTTACGTCCTCGTTGGAACGCGCCTGTCGATAGAGAACTTCAAATGATATTTTAGACGATTGCGTATTCCTACCTTTAACGAATGCCTCGCGACTCGAAAGGCCTTGCAAAAGTATACATAGAGTATCTGGAGTTACGTTGAATCACGCATGAGTGTCGCGAATTGCTTAGATCGCCATGTTGTAACTAAATAAACGATGCAAGGCTTCCACCGTAAGCCACGTGCCACTCACACAAGGGAATCAATGTAATAGAAACTACAGCTTTCGTTGTCTCCATGTGATCTTACTAGAAAACCTAGCACCATAACCATCTTTCCAGAGTTGTGAACGAAGTTATGTTCATACAGAATAATGTTCTGTGATAGTCCTTGTGGTCTACCTAACAACAAACAACTTCCTTAACAAGACTTAATAGTTATGTTCCATGCCACAGATTCGATCAAAAGCGAAACTTCCGTCCAATGGCTTAACTGCATAAGCGTTGTATTCAGTGGTGATTTAATCTATGGCTGTAGACGTCAATAGAACCATGCATCTTACAAAGTTGAGCAGGAATAATTATCCGACAAAATTTTAGATTTCGGCAGTTACATTTCACGAACACGTTGATAGATATGGTAATTTGAGTGTCCTTTACTCCCAACGCAACATCCAATAGCGCTTGCGATTAAAGCTATAAACGGGTTAAATGAAAACAAAGTTAGCAAAAAGGAAATCTTCTGGTTCGAAAATGGTTTCCGACTATGTGAATCGTAATAGTAAACTACTGCACGTGTAATAAAACCAAATAATATTTGTGTAGATACAATGATTTTGTATCATAAACTTCGGGGTAGTTAACATATGGGTGCACTCCTTTAATATCCTGGTGACTAAGCGTTTTTTTTTATTCCATTCTAATTTTTCATATTCAGTACGGAAACAATTGACAAAAATGTTTAGTCTTTGTTAATAAACTCATTGATACTGTATTACGGGATATATGTATGTTCACAGATTAAAGAAAATGTTACTTTATATTTTGCAAAGAGTACAAATTTGAAAATAACAGAAATATTTGTAGCGACAACTAGCTAAAACATTGAAGAAGGGCCTCTGTCCCAACAAGTCCGGTGGGCCCTGGAATTGGCAGAATATGACCCGGCAAACCCTAACGTGGGCGCGTTATCGCGGTTAATGTAATGACTCTCTAGAAATAGCAAGAATTCTGGCCCTGGATCGCTTGCGGCACATCAGCTGGAAGCCCTTATTGGGCCTCGAGGCGGCCAATGTCAAGCACATGCAACAGGCAAACCCTCATCTAAACGAGGTTATCGTTAGAAATGATACAGGAGTAGGTGTTCCTGCATATATACTCGTTGACGGGCTCCTGTATCAAATTAACGGGAACGCAGCGCTGTTGCAGATCGCGTAAGCCCAAACTGAAGATGCGGTCATGTCCTGTTCCTCCAAGACGGGTGTAGATGCAGACATTCGAAAAACTATTCAGCAAGCACTAAAGCGCTTCTATATCGGCCCTGGCGTATGCCCACAGATCGGAAAGATGGTAGCTTAGTGCGAAACTTGTTGGAGTTTGAAGCTTAAGGTGCCAAACGTGTGTAGTACCACGTCTGCTCTCATTGAAGGGAAATTTTGATTAAAGAGGCAAGCCGATGCAGAAAACATTTAGGTGCACACGCCTCGGGGCGCATTCTGGGTATTGGTTCTTCTAATCGTTTACATCGTGGCATCGTTATCTAAACCTATGTCGTAGAAGGAACTAGTCAGTCCAATTTTTACTAGCATACTTGGTATGGTAAGACGTAGACAACACTTAGCCTTAGAGATAGTTGCAACTTCAGTTATTTAGTTAATGACTATAGTACAGTGAAATCCGGGTTTAAAAGCCGGCCTAAATTTTGTGCTGTGCAAAATCGTCTTTTTTAAAACACAAAATTTTGTTACCTGCTATCGGATGGCTTTATGTATTCATGTTATAGTTCTACAACGTCTGCATAGTAAATAAGTTCCCACTAATAATTAGAAAACGATTTAGGATAGGGTCTTGTGACGCTCTCTGTGATATAAATATAAATGAAAACATAATATAATTCTGTGCGTTCGATCGTTAACCCTCATTACTGAAACATGGTGGAAAAAATCAAGCTTTTGGCAGACGAAATATTCAGTTTTATATTACTGTACCGCACCATTGTAGTTTATTGACTTGGATGATTTTTCAAAATTCGTGACGAGAATTAATTGTGCTGTTGTATCGTGGCTTGTTCTAATAAGAGCAACGGTAATCGAGGTCAACATTTTCTTTCGTTATTGTGTGGGAATAATTCCTGTTGTCTAAGCATCCAGTCTTCAATCGCAGATATGCAATAATATTTGAAACAATCGACCGTGCGTGTTGGAAGAATCATCGTTACGAAGTGATAGCTATCGTAGCGGACAGTCATTGGTCAAGTAAGAAAATTTCAGTTCATCCCAAAACGGACATCGCTACTACACGATTTCCCGGGAAGAAAAAGCCGCAAAAAAGAGAACGACTTTAAATACTGTTATTCAAAAAAAAAAAATAGAATTTATTTATATAGATAGATAGGTATATATAGATAGATATAGGCAGACAGATATACTGATATAGTTTTTGTTAATTTGAGTTCCCAAGAGATTATTATGCTGGTACGATTTGTATTACGCAGTAGATCAGCTGCTTTATTGTCTATAAAATACTTCTGAGACTGAATGTCTAATTTGTACGGCGTCATTCACATGTACAAAAACTTACATTATTTAGTTTGTAATATTATGGTACCACTCCTTGTAACATCGTGTTAGATTTCTTCCATTTAGTTGTAATGGTTATCGATACCATTACCCTTTATCCTTTGCTGGTCAAATCACCACCATAAACAGTTCTTTATTTAGTTTCGTCGTTTTCTGCATGCTGTTTGCCACAATAAAAATTCGTATTTTCAACTAGCTGACCGCTGTAGTTCCGTGTCCACGACACGTCACGATCTGGTGCGCGACATGTCGGAGCGATCATATTTTAAACGTTCCATTAGGTACATGAAGTGCCACTTCACGAATAGTCAAAGCTAATTGCTAAAAACGCTAGTTGTTCTCCTGCAATCCGTTCACTATATTGACAAATTTGCGGACAGATCGACCAACACAGTGTCATCCAACAGTCGATTTTGCTGAGTCTGCAATACTCTCCACGCGTGTAAATTAACGGCAAACTAGGAAACTGCCACAGATCTGTTTGGCCATCTCCTGAGGTGGCATTCTCCGTATTGATATCTTTTGATATGGAGAATCACAAAAATACTGTTTTTAGCCGTGCAACTTTTAACAGAGCCTTGAAGTACGATAGCGCTAAAAGGGAACTCACAATTTCCCGTATCCGATTTGCCAATAACGTTTCCAAGCGACTAAAATTCGTCTACATGTCACCTGGATTAACTATTCAAGAGCCGAGACCTTAGTATAGGTTCAACAGTTTAACGGTTGGCTATCTGAATGCTCTGGACATATAAAAATAAAGTTGCTTGTTAGGAAATAAGTTAATTAATCGACTTCGCCAATCAAGATTTAAGAATCGCACTAAAAAGGACGCGTGTGGACAAACAACGAAGCTCCGATGCTCGCAGGCAGCGAGAGCAGACTCTGCACCTGTTTTTAACCTCAAGGTGAGAATATGCGTGTTATCAATTTTGCGCAAATACTTAGATGTACGATAAAAAACGAAACAATGGCAAGAATTATGTCGGCGAAAACAAACTGGAAACCTTTTTTTTTTTTTTTTTTGTCTCCTTCTCTTTCTTCCTCTTCTTGTTCGTCAGTTGTGTATATCGCTCCGTTTCTCAGCTGGTGTTTCGTCCAGCGTTATATTCATATGGCAAGTGGCATATCTCTGCCTTATTATGGTCCACAGTCATAGGTTCAGAATAAAATAGAACAACTCCGCTGTTTTTCACAAAAAAATATGAGAAAATTCCAAGAAGGAATAATGATTTTGCAATGTTAATCAGCAGTGCGTGAATCCTAAAAATATACCTCTTACCTAAGCCTGCTAAACTTTGAAAAGGTTACGATTTTCGCGTGACCACGAATATAAGACAGACTCTAAACACTACCTCCAAGTAATTTTCCGACGATGAACTAACCGTTTCGGTTTTTAGATACTGGGGTGTGCTTACTCAGCAGGATCTATAACACAGTTCACTCAATCGTCGAAGGAAGGATTCAATTTTTAATGAGCTTTTCACTCATAACTATAAAATCCAAAACATACTAAAAGTGTTTCTTAATTGCGAAGTATCGTGTACATGTCGTTACTTCGTGCGCAAAGCAGCCAGTAATTTCTGATCGAAAAATGAATTTAATATATATACACATATATATACATATTTAATACCTTAGCAATCACCCGCCTTGCGCTTGCAGGTTGAAACCCACGAGCGACTTGCGAGGACTTGTTTCCATTTACAAACGGCAGCCAGGGCCATGGGTATTCCGATGGAGTCCGAGCTGCGTCGATTTTACATAAGCTTACCAGTTGATGACGAAGAATCGTTGGACGCATTAGGCGATGTGGCCGAAAACCTAAAGATGAGGCTGTGGCCTGGTACAAATTCTAGTGAAGAGAGACGAAAATACAGCGTGTACAACAAATCCAAAGTGCATGTTACTCTATGGGCTTGCGATTTGCGCGTTGGCGAAGATGTGCTTAAGAAACGTTTAAAGGCCTTTATGTTCGATAATCGTGGACGCTTTACAAACCTGCGAATTCGTTTTAATAAGCTTTCCTATTTAGCAAAAACAGAAACGAGGTACATTGTAGCGTGCCTAGACCCCGCGTGTCGTAAACGGATCGAGGAACTTAAACGTGCGCTTGAAAAAGCCTTCCGTGACCTTGGCAAAAGCCTGTTAGACCGTGATACTTGCCAGTTACATTGCAGTATTGTAGCATGTACTAACCTCAATGTGTCCGTCGACCTGCTTAAAGTCCTTGGTCACTTTCGAAAGCCGATATCGGCGATAAATGACATACATCCAACACGGCTAATTGTTACCTCAAAGTGGAACGTCCTCGCATGTGGAACGTTTCTCGATGGTACTGTTAAATGTATGCCACGAGAGTTGTCGCGGTGTCAATCTCCGATCATATACGATACTGTGGAAGATGCTAGCGATTTAATGGGTCGAACAGTCGACCTTATAAATTTCCCCATTAAGCCAAAAGAGCAGCCAATACAGTTGCTATTTGCAGTCGCACGGGTAGTTGGCTTTGATCTAGAAGAATCAATGATTGAAAGGTGTTGTCGAGAGCCCTTACAATTTTTCCACTTTCAGAAATCGTACAGGCTTTATTCTCGATCGCCTGATATTGTAGCCGTATTTGCGGATAGAGATATACGTGACAGGTTCCTGGCATGTGTTACAGCATACTGGAAATGGAACGACTTTATGGTTTACGCCACGGATATTGACAGGACATTTCCGAGCGTGAGGATTACCGTCAACCGCCAATTACCTTTAGAAACTAAGCTTCTTCTTGGAAAAGCAAAACGCTTTACATACGAACATGATTTCAAGTACTGCTGGATGGAAGACGACGAGATTCGTGTTCGTAAGGATGATTTTAGTCCTGTCTACACTATTAGGTGCCAAGAAGATCTTCAACGTCTGGCTAGGAAGCACCGTCGACGTCAGCCTCAACAATATCCTCGACATATACCGCAGCAGCAAAATTACGCAAGAATGACTACCTGCGTAATTTGATCAATACGCACAATAGGTGTTAAGCCATATTTGACAGCTATTTTAATGATTGATTTCCCACTATACACGTTCATAGCACATAATCTTCTTTTAACATTACCTTCATAACCCACCACGCACCTTCCATCAAACAAACCGAGACAGTATTTACGCGTACAATGTTTATAATAAAAGTTGATTTCTATATTTCTTATCAGTCGTGCATTATTTATCTGTGCATGAAACATCCTTTAATATATTATAACATTACATGCAACAATTACCTAATATAATCTGTTTCGTTGAAAAACAAGCAAGAAACGGGTAACGGAAGAACATGCTTTCGCTAGAGTTGGATCTTCGAGTAAAATACGCCTCGCGTGCCCCGGAATATCAACCTACTAAGTTTAGGAACACGTGAGGCGATCTAGTTTTGAGACCGAGAGCACACATGCCTCGTGTCGTGCTGGGAGCCAGTCGCCTGAAGCAACGCCTAACAGCATTATGGAAGGATATGAAACTTGAAACGCCCTATATTCTTTTCGCGTAAACTAAACGAGTGTGATTCAAAACGAAATAAAAAATCTTTTACCTCCCCGTCCGGCCGAAATCAGAGGCCAGGCTGATGTGTTACCTCTGCCCACACAACCTCTTTTTTGTCAATAACTTGACCTTAGCCTTTTACATAGCCGTCAAATGCAACTCGTGAAATAATGTTGTTAGACTAGTTAGACGCAAGTGAGAAAAACTAACAAGTGGCTACTATACAATTTGCAATTGGCCTACTCGCTGGTAATCAAAATATCAGACAAACGTTCTAGATTTGATCTGCAAAATCCGCGTATATCTGGGCCATCCACATATTGCCCTTCAATGCCACCCATACCGGCAACACGTAATCATTCCGAGCAGTCACATAGACACCAATATTACTTTGAGAAAAACAGAAATTTAATCTCAGGCTACAATACGAAACGGGGATAGCAATTATGAAGTAAAATAGGTCATTACTACCTCGCCAGATTATGAAAAATGCATAATAGATATATGTTTAATATTATAATTAATCTAAAGGTTGATTTACTCTCGCACTTATGAACAAATCTGATGCACCTTCTCCTCTCATCGTCTGCTTTTTGATACGTTTCGGTGCCGATACCTTCGCAATACGCTAGCTCCAGTAGACATTTCTGTAGTTACTGAAGGTTTATTAAGTGGGTGCAGTACAAACAAACAGTGTCATCAGGCTTTTGTTAGCCGCCTCAAGGATAATGATGGGCTGTTATAACAACACAGGATATCCGAAAACTTACCACATGACTAGTACATAAATAAAAGTAGTATATTTCAAGTATGAAAATGTCAATTTATTAGGCAACCACGGACGTTGCACAAATTGAAATTCAAAAACGTTATCGTTATTTTTTCACAAGGACCGAAACGTCTTAGAGAATTACAAGTGTGCGACTTACACAACGTTTTTAAGAGATGCGCTATGGCCATCAAATGGACCCTATTTCAATGGCCGTGACATTATGGAGTTTGGACTAAATCTACAACTTACTTCGTCTCAGTATCCATCTATGTAAGACACTTTTCTAATAATACTAAATGCTATCCATGTCTTCAAAGAAATGACTGAATAACCGATTCTCTTGGGATAATTGTAGAAGTGAATATATACTGATGTTAACTATGTTCTAGAACTGCGCAAGGTTTAAGTGAAGTGAAAATGAAGATAACATTTATAAATTAAATTATTATTTAGCGTTATTTGACACATATAGTGCGATGATAGCAGTAAGCGTTGTGAGAAATACAAAATGGCTTTTATTAAATATATTCATAAATACAAATAACGATAATTTGATCAAGATATGCTAAAACATTGTTTTCGGCAGCTTGTATGAGAACTGCAAGAAAAACTGTTTTGTTTCCTTGTTCCACAACGTCCAGAACTTCTCTGAATCACTCTTATCGACTTCACGAGAAGGCACCTAAACTCAAACAGGAAAACGATAAAAGTAGCCATTACTATAATATGTCTCTCTTAATAATAAATGAAGTAACTTATATATCATAAAGATGTCGTATGACAAAGCATACAGCATTCAGACCTATATATTTCCTCAAGTTCGGTATATAAGTAATTAAGCAAAGTAGTGCGTGGAAGAATACTGGCGTATGAATAGCATTTCGCATTTTGTCGTAGTGACTGTTATAGTTACTCCGAATTTCTGTACTTCTGAAAATCAGACCCAATATGGCGAAATTCACTCAGGCAATCCATAAAGAAACACTAACTTTTCTTATTATTTCTTAATTTTGATTTTCGAATGTTATACCTTGAACGCGATGGTCTCGTAGGGCTCTGCGGCGAATAGAAGGTATTGCCATTTACGGTCTGGCGGCTCAATTTTCTGTTCATAAGCGGACATGAATCGATGGCGAGGCACGACCGATTCTGAAATCTCTGGATAGTCCACCTGAAAAAGCAGGGACTGCTGCCCGGTTTCAGAATCACGCTGTTTTGTCACCCTGTAAATATGCATTTATGCGCAGAAAAATTTTAGGATGAATTCTTGTCTCTGAAATTGAAATATAGTAATAATGCAATAAGTAAGTAAAAGAGTGATTGTTTCATTCAAAGCGGACCGATACAAATCACATAGATTTTTATTTAAAGAGAAGCACTTCCATGCATGTGCTACCATTTTACCATAATTTCTGCTAACCTGTACCCTGGACGTCCGATTTTGACAAATTTCTTAATGTCGACACGGGGTTTTGCCGGCGCTGGCTGGATAGGGTTGTCTCGAGCCTCTCTTGCAGCACGTCGAGCAAGATTCTGCTGATGCTTTTTGCCCTGGGTATGCGCTAAATACGAACCCTCATTATTGTGCAGCGTCAGACAGAGTTTACATTCGTACGATCCTGCAAACAGAATTCAAAACATAACTAGGCAATCATGGAATAACCATGTAAATCATTTCCAGCTCGCATGGTCGAACACCTTCCATTTGCGTATCTATCATATCCAATTCAATGCTCACCTAGCTTTGTACGTACAGTGAGAAATTCTGTCATAAACATTTATGAATTGTTATCCTTGTATTTGAAATAATATTAGCAAAAACGGCATTAGACCAATAAATGTAATTCAAATGGTTATTGAATTATTTAGATATCTTTCCATAAAACAATTTTTCATAAACCCTTACACAATGTGATTATCATCACATTATGTAAGGGTTTGTTTCCCAAGATATCGCTGTCCATTACACACTGCTATGTTTTAACAAAGAAACGTGTACTTACAATAACAGTTATAAAGAACAAATGACAATCAGCAGCTATTGATTTTACATAAGCATAGCTTATAGCCGACTAGTTCTTACCCAAGTGATTTTTCATGAAATAGGGATCCTTGTGAAGGTCAATTGTTTCGAGCGCCAACTGCCGAAGTCGCTCGCGACGATCTCGGTTCGTTTCACTCCATGATGCGACACCGCCCGTGCCTGTCTTGCCTCCAACACGATGTTGGAAGTCCATCGTATGTCAATTCTGCAATATAAAGCACACGCGTAAGACTACAAAATTATCCGTGAATATGCAAACATTCGATGATCGCAATCCACATCTTCATGTCACATAAAATTTTTCCAATTTATTTGAACCGAACAACCATTGGAAAAAGATTCCTGCCAACATTAAAGGTAATGCTTCGTATTTTTGGAATACGGTTGTTCACCTTAACCTTGTCGTTGTGTATCTCGTTGGTCACCTATCTTTTTATCATAAAGAAAAAGGAGAGACTTAGATATAACTGTTAAATCAGAGCAGATTGTCATTAGGACTCGATTTTTGAACAGGATAATTTTTGAAGAAGAGTGCGGTACACAAAATATACCTTTGAATAGACAATACCCCTGCCTTAGCTACTATTTAACCCTCTTAGAGTTCAGCGCATAGTTACACATCATATTCAAAGCCATTTGAAGAACTTTCTAATTTTTACCTGGTCTATGTATGGCACAGGCTCCGCAGCACAAAAAGAAACTCACTTCAGCGTTTGTTTATTGACAGTGAGCAGACGACAATGTACTCGATAGAGATATTATGATACGTTCTGTCTTTGATGTCCTAAAGAATGAATGTTTTACTCGTTCTTGACTATATATATGTAATATACCTATGTATGTTTAACAACACACCCTTAGTGAAAGCATATAGTGAAATAAGCACAAATGCTCCATTGTTGTTGTTGTATTTGCATTCGTACTCATCGTCTGCTATTTGTTGCTTGGAATAAAGCGGCCCGAACAATATTCCATCTCTTCACAGTGAAATAAAAATACTTCGAAGCTTATTTATGTATGTAAATGTGTGTGTAGTTTCTATTTGTACTATATGAAAATATGATTTTGTGTATTGGTCCAAAATAAAGTGGTGAATAAACTTTGTTTTGCAATTTCGTGCAAAAAAGATAATCATAGTAACTTTGTTTATTACAGAAGGCTGCACAGTGTGTGAAGAACGGCAAATATGGCAACGAAAATGGACTATTTAAAACGATATATGGAACCTGAGGAGCCGAAGAAAAAAATTAAAACTAGAAAGAAGGTCAAATTGGCGAAACTACCGAATTTAAAAATTTTTGATGCAAACGTCGATATGAAAGACGTCAGGACTGGTAGGTTTCATGTTTGAATCAAATAATAGACAAGATCGGTACAAAAATAAATCTATTCAATATATTATAATAATATTACATACAATTTCACAAACCAGATTACATAAGAATTCTTGTATTTTATTTTAGCTAGAGAATTGCAATTCAGTGATTCTTTCGCCAAATTCTATCTCCTAGCAAGGTTGCATGAAAATAAACATTGCTAAAAGACACTTTAACACTCAAAGAAATTTGTTGTTTTAAAGTATATTCGAAATTAAAATAAGCATGCTTCTATCACTGCGAGCTTTGTCACCTGTTTTAAAACAGAATTAAATAGATATCATGTCGTTTTCGTTTATTTGCACCATTACGTAGTGTATGTCATTGGTGGGGCTTGAATTCACGATCTCTGGCTTTCTCAGCGAGAAATTTAGCCGTTCAAGCCACCGCATTTGCATATAAAAACACGCAAGTAAGGAATAATTATCGAATTGAATTTTACAGGCTCAAATTCAGAGGAGTCGGAAAATGTGGGGAGTCTAGGCGAAGATGCTCCGCAGGTGGCCGCCGTCGTTGACGAACAACCCCCAGAAATGCGCTCATTTAGTAAAACTTTAAGGGAGGTGCCTTTTATCGAAAAGGATTCACATCAAAATGCAAGGTCAATTAGGCCACTTGGACTAATAATACGTACAATATCTCAAGATCACAATTGACCAAATAAAAAATGGTGTTGATCTTTATGAAAAATACTAAATAAATTAACCGGTATATTATCGTTTATTTTCTTGCTACGAAGGGTGGCATTGATAACTGATGCAGTGCTAATTGCTAGAACTCGTTGTGCAAAGGACACAGAGTCATGCCCTTGTATCAAAATTCCGTGACCTGATTCCCGCATAGAAATATATCCATAATTGTGTATTACCTGCATATGAAAATTAACCTACTAAACTGTTCATTTGATTCCAGCTCCTCATGTCGTCGTGATTCTAGAAGTCCATCATATGCTAGTCCAGTCAGGCGTCGGAAACGAAGAGATTCATCGTCCGATGAAAGCCCTCTGAGAAAAACTACAGGTAAATTAAGTACTTGTATAATGAATGCGGAACGGTAGTATTAATATAAGTAGTTGCAGTTATAGTAAGCTTTTAATACGTAAACTGTAAGACCTTTTTAATGCTTCATTTGTCAACACGACTGTGTATCGGAGCATCCGCTAACATTTTTAAAAATAATGACTTTTGTTATGTGATTCAAAAACACGGTACGTATAGTCACACATAACTCGTCTCTTTCTATTTAATTTTTGCCGGGACGTAGAACGAAATTACCAGAGCAAATGCCGAGATTTAAATGCGAGTGCCCTACGAAAGCGACGGGACTCGAACGATAGCCCTTCTAGACAGCAACGAGACTCAGACGAAAGCCCTCCAAGAAATCGAGCAAAGGTGGGAACTGACTCAGATGCCAGTCCTCCCCGCATGGACCGTTGGAATACGCAGAAACAGAAAAATGAGGAGGGACATGAGGGCCGCCGTCAAGCAGATAGCAGCCCGCCTCGTAGACGACGAAAAAATGATAAACGAGGCGACCCGGAACGACCTGAACGAGAAATCACGCAAGCAGAAGTACTCGATACACCCGACGTTATCAGGTAAAATGTTTTAACGAGCCTCAGTTTGAGCTTTAAGTTCGACGTTTTTTTACTTTAAAATCACAAACAGTATAGTATGCAATGTTTGGATATTTTCTTATACAAAAAATCGAACATGTATTTAACACAGTTCTTTCCTGATCTCGTTTAAGCTTACGGAACACCAAGAAACAGGCGGCTGAAGCTGCCAAAAAGGAGCAAGCAGAAAAGGAAGCTCGTCGTAAAGCGGTTTATGAACAATGGAACTCCGGAGTGGTTCAAAGGAAACAACGGGAACAGCTTATTGAAGATGCAGTACATGAAGCCTCAAAGCCCCTAGCCCGAGCGGCGGATGATGCTGACCTTGATGAAAGGCTCCGCTGCGTACGTGATCGTGCATGTTTAACTATGTGAAGTTTAGTATATACGTGGCTTACCTACAAGCGAAATTTACCTTGGCGTCCGCCGTGTTTATGTAATGCAGGGTAAGCCTTTTAAGGTATTGTAGTTGAATTTTACAGTAAGAAGTAAGATTTTACTCCTTCCTTATTTATTTACAGGTTGTGCATGCCGACGACCCAATGTTGGCGTTCATTAGGAAAAAGAAACAGAACAACGATGGAAGGCCACGGTACAATGGGCCAGACCCTCCGCCGAATCGCTTTAGAATTTGGCCTGGATATCGCTGGGATGGCGTTGATCGCTCCAATGGATTTGAGGCAAAGATCATTGCTGTGAAAAACGAGAAATTGGCTAAAGAAGAGCATGCGTATAAGTGGAGTACCGAGGACATGTGAGAAGCTAGAGGGTGAACGCTTTTCATCTTAAGAGTATTTGAGCAAAACTATATTCGCTGGGAGTAATTGTCCGAATGAAGATGCTCATACCATATCCAGCTGTACATATGAACGATTATGAGACAGTCTGATTGTTAGCACCGGTCATGCGTGTGTCTGGCTTTGATAGGTATATAGAAATGGGTAAATAATTATAATTTGTACATATAATTTTTTTGTTATATGATGGTATTGTGATTGCATAAACAGGCTTGTTAATATTAATGTACGAGTTTATTAATTATATTGAGTAGATAAAGAGTATGTATAAAGATATTAGGTAACTCGTTCTGTAAATTTTATATTTGGAAAAACATAATATTTCGCTCAAGTACAACGTAAATGTAAGCATAGATTCTTCTTATCTGTAGGCCTACTTTTTCCAGTACCCAATATTAGGCAATACTTCTTTGCAGTTGATTGACTTTGTGGATAGAAGTGTATCTGCTTCCTAAATACGGTTGGGAAATGAGTCGCAAACTTGAATTTCCGATATTTAAGACACAGCAAACATCCGTTAGTAACGGATATTGTACAGCAATATTTTTGAAGTAGCTGTCACTAATAGATGTTTCCTATTGACAAAAATTATCAAGCTGATATCAATTTTTCGGCCACTGTGCATTAACAGAGTAAGTATTCACTTTATAATTTTTTCAAAATTGTTCATTTTAATTCAGTATTATATATGAAAAATAAAGATTGTATAGATGTGATACATATGGCAGTAATAATATCTAAGAGCAATAACAAAATGAAATTTTAGTTAAATAATAATTGCGCTCTACTGCAAAGAACGTTCTCTATATATTTTGTTTTCACGTTGCTGCGTGTCCGGGTTATAAAATAATTCACCTTTTCGTGTTGCTTTCGATAACAAAAACGTTTTTTTTTTATGCCAAGGGTGCCTTTCTGAAAGGTCGCATCGATGGTTGCATGATGCAGGTATTAAAGTTTCTTTCAGATACAGCTATTTTAACTAAAGTAACACGACCTATTTAGAAAAACGCATGCAATCACCTCATTGCCAAGATAATTAATGGCGCTCGAATGGCATATCGATTTGATTAGAATGGAATTGTTCAATTGCGTGGGTAAATCGTGCATTTGGTCGTTGCCATTAGCTTTGAAACAGTGATGTAGTGGCCCAGAGGACCTTCGAATGTCATTATAGATCTAGATTAGATAAAACGTTTTTATTTTCCTGCTATATCGTCTCCCTTGATATTCTAAGTGCCGTAGGCAAATACATCGCAGCTGGTCACATGGAGAGTGACGCCAGTCAATTTAAGCAAATCCGTTACTCTAATTGTACACATAAGCGTTAGATAATAGAAACGCGTGTTTCTAAGCCCAGATACTTCCATTGTGCGACATATTCATTGTACGGTTATTACTGCTAATTCCGTGTTCTAGTAGTGATAGACGTGAAGGTTGCGTCGATGATAATGACGACCGCAGGAAATGAGTGTATTGCTGATCCACGGATCAGAATAGTAAGCGAGAGCAGTGAGCGTCCGTCCGATGAAAACGACAGGATTCGATTAAGGTGGGTTCCTTACCGCAGAAGAAGGAAACCCATTTGGGTTGCGCTTGTAATTCTCTGTATACTGATAGTTCTCATCACTGCAGGGTTGCTCATCTACTTAATCGTTCAGCACGCATACTCACCTCGTTTTACAATCGACCACACCGATGAAGCCGCGATATGCTCCCGTTTTGCCAAAAACTATTGCGCCGTGGACCCGTGTTCATATGTGCCGCGAGGGCACATATCTGTTGAATTCTCAGATATACAAAGACAGATACGTTACGATATCGGTGTTAAAGCCATGCCCGAAATACTTTGCACCTGTGATTTGGAGTACCCGAGGAAACGTATTGCTCGAGCCTTCCTTAATTCGGAATTTTCCTTAGTACGGGTCATAATACCTTCAAACATATCAAAAGAGTATCACCTTAGTCGGGCCTGGGTGATGTACTGCGGAGCTCTCTGGGCGAGAAGAATACCGCCGATCGAAGCAGTAAAGTTCTGCGGTACAACTCGGCGTTATCAACCACTTCTTCGGAATTTTCGAATATTAGCTAATCAGAAAGACTACCAGGATGTGGCCAGCTTCGGGGTCTCATTATTATTGGCCACTGAGTGCTCCCCCGGAGCCTGTTTAAAAAAAAGCGGCAAATTTAACAAACAGTTAGCTCCGTCACCTTCTACTCGTGATGTGGCGCTGCGTTTTTTATACGAAATCACTAATGTTCACATGTGAAAAAAGGACTATACCTCTTTTCTTCAACGTCAAACAATACCCTATTTTAAAGGCATCCAAAATATTCCTGCGCCGACCGTAACCATTCAGAATAGATATTAAAGTACGATTTTTTTTTATCACTCATTTGAGCTATATATATATGGTACTCTGCTTAGTATACTGTAGTAATGGCACCGCATTTCTCGACGAAATCTAAGCTAACCGGCAACAACATAGAACTGTTAACCTTGACGTCTCCAAAGTTTATCTCACGGAATTATACTTTCTGTCGTTTAGGGTTGAAACACTTTTATTCAAAAGTTATTACCGCATTATAAGTGAATATGCTATGTAATAAATGTAAAACATAGTAAATAAAGTTTTAAATAATTAAAAAAGAATGTATATGGACGAAAGATCTTCCTATAGATGTAAACATATAAGATGTAAAAATGTTTTCAAAAGATAACGTTGCGTAGTGCGCAGGCGAGATATACATTCGTTCTGTGCTCAAATTGAGTTCATGCCTGAAATCGCTTCACGAAGAAGTAAGATGGTGTCTGATGATTTATTTTCGGTCTTCCTATGCGATCAGACTTCCAGATATAACTTAACAACGAGTCTCTTTAGCCCAACTTTAGGTACAGCAGTTCAGGAAGCTTGATGATATTTCAAAGTAAATTTACTCGTTTCCTAATGCAGTGATTCTGTAAACATACTAAACCTTTTATGAATAATAAAATTATTAAAATTATGCTGGTTTTTTAACTGACCTGATTAGGGTTTCTTAATTTAAACCACCCAATTGGTAACACAACGGGCTAATCGTCTATATTCTTTTGTAGCACCATGGCAGCGCGCGATTCTTAACGTTCATAAAGATTTGACATCGTTCAGTTTATCGACGCCCAAGATGTTCTGTTCTAGTATAGTTTCTTTAAATGGTGTCTTTATCTCAAATAACTTCGGGGGAAAATGCCGGTGATTCTTTTGAAGGTACAACAACCATTTACAACGTATGCGTTTCGCAGCTTATGTCACCATGCCCAATGCTCAACCCTATGGAGCTATCTAATACAAGTAGCAGTGACCGTCTTAGTCACGAACCCTACTTATTCGCTGAATTGATCATATGTGTGCTTCCAGTTGTAGTAGTGAATATAAATCGAAAATTAGCCTCCTCGGCAATTTCTAAGATTAGCACTATACATTTAGGTTTGCAGAGCACGAAATTAGGTATTCCTTCAGAATACTCCATGCCATCTTTCACCAGTATGTATAACCTGAACAACATTAGAAGCGCGCATTTATTCGTTAACTTGTATAGAGGGTTAACTCAGTTCTGCCGGATGCTTTCCCGCAGCCCGAAGTTGGTCACGGTGTACGTTCGTAGTCTAAGGTTTTATTGATCACGCTGTGGGTGGCATCAGTAGAACAAATCGACCGTATGTTCTAGAATGTGGCTGTTTTCGGCGAACGCTTGGCGCTCTTTTGTGATTCTGTTTTGCGTGGTAACTCACTGCCGTGGCGGTGTTATCCCAGCCGGTAAGTACGATGTTTCCATAAAGGCCTACTTGATCTTCATTTATAGTGATGTATTCGAAATTCTAATCTCAAAAGGGCGCATGTACACAGGTGGGGCTTTGAAGCTCTTCAAACGTATATGTTTTATGGCAGAATTATAGAAGTTGATAAAAATGACTTTTAGAGTCAGTATAATTATAGGAGCTTGCATGATATAGCTATAATAGATCTATCCCCATTTACTTCAAGTATATTAAATCCTTAATACAGATAATAGTAACGGTCTCCTTAATATCTAGCAAAATATCGAAGTTTTAGACGGAAGAAAATTTTCAAATATTTTTTGAATAATGTGAATTCCAAACGTTTTGAAAATGGTTTTTATAAACACAATTTTGTCACTATTTTGCATATGCTTCAATTTTTACAGCATCTACACTTATTTACTGTGGAAAATAGAGCAGGCTGCTGCAACATATCTAATTGGTGCGACGAACTTAGAGTTCCCCTATATACTTAGGTATAAGTTAGCCTTTATTTGGCAGCAACATAGTACAGAAGATCATTTTTATTTGTTGTCATTATTTACATTTCTGTCCGTATGTTAACAGCTATATACCCATATGCACTACAAAAATGTGGAGGTTTTACTTTGCTTCGAAGTCTGACTAAATCAATAGACAGTTCGAATCTTATGTGCAGTACTTGCAGTTAAACATTGCTTTAGACAACTTATCCCTTGAATAAGACTACATATATCTATTCGCGGATATTGAAATCAGACCTTTGAAATCTGACCAAACCTCGACTCTGCGTATAGGGTATCTCTCCTGGATCCGGTTAAATCTATAACTGGCGGATCGTAGACAGGCGTTCACGTTCTATTCGTGGTACTAGAAGAAAGCCAATTTTTTCTAGGACCAGACAGCAAATCCACCAAAACGAAAAAAAAAAGTTGTTTTCGCAGATTTAGAGATCAGCTGTCACTCAACGTTCTCACTATCAACGAACGATTGGCATTTCCTTTTTCGCCTACTAATCTGCGCAGTTTTCAGTTTTCAAACAGCGTAAAAAATTCGAGGACGGTTTCTGTGAGACAAGTCGGAAAATCCTCAATAAGTTTCAGATTCGTACATTTCAAAATTCGTCAAAATGACTCAAAAAGTAATTTTCTGTATAGAAATAAACGGTCGTTTTGAAAAGAAGATTATTGACTGCCTATTGACTAGCCAATTTCTTGTAAGTAGCATGTTCGGCCGGCAACTCAATGAGCTCGTAGCTAGCCATATCACGTGACGCACAATTACTATTACAAGGTTGTTTGTCGATTAAAGAAGATATATTTTGAAAATGTGGTTATATTCTAATGAGTGAATGTCGGCTATATTGAATAATCATGACCGTCCAGAATGACGTTCTTGACACATACAAAAAGATTTGTCCAAAATCTGTTGTCGTTTAGATACAATCTGAGAACGACTTGTAGACGTATACTATCAGGCCATTATGTGTATTATTAGTTCTAGGCTGTTTAAGCCCTGGCCAAAAAGAATCAACAGCGATAAAGCAACAGTATTTACAAATACTTCTCATACGTATAGCACAAACGCTACAACCATTTATTATAGAGATAGATAATTAAATTGATTTATATCCATTTTACAGTCATTGCCGGCGGTGTAGCTGCTCCAGCTGCGCTTATGCTATTTAAAGGTGAAGATACATTGTATTCAGAAACATATCGACACATTATAGTAATCATGTCCTTTAATGAGATTCTATAGAATGAAAATCTATTTCATTTATATTATGTCTACGTAAAAATATTGGAATTTTATTCAGAAAATTTGATGTGCAATCGCTTTTTAATGATAACAAGAAGCATAAAACTAGCTACAGTACTTCAAATAGGTTTAATCAAAAATGTAAAATCGATATGTTTAAGTATTTATAAAAATTAAATAAATAGATATTTTTAAGTTAGAGACGAAAAATAGATCTGATCTATGTTATTTGCGTTTTTACTTTCTCTCTGTTAGTGGTTGCGTTAAAAACCTACCCTGTACTTATCCTGTGACATGTCATCGGTGTTAAAAAATTGTATTTATGATAAAAGCTTAGCTTTACAATGGTATGTTTGACTTTATTTATTTATTCATTGTTATTTTCTATGTGTTTCTATTATGTCTAAATACTCACTGATAATTGGAGCCATATTTGTTCTGTAGCATTGGCTAACGCTGGAAAGGGGTCGAGTAGCTCGACAACGACAACAACAACGACGACAACAACAGCCTCAACGACTGTTGTTCCACCTCTTCTGAGCAACGATTATCGCTATGGACAGGGTCATTACTACAAGACAAACCGTGCAAGACAGCTCAGTGACTTCGATGATCGCAAATTTACTCGTTATGACAGCAACGGTCGTCGACGTAAAGGACGCCGTAAGGACAGCAGAAACAGCGTAAAGATTGAAAGACAACACAGAAAACAACAATCTTTATCATCACCAACTGTCTACAATTCGTTTAGTATGTAGCATTTATCCGGATCCCTTATTGTACAGACACAATAATAGTAATAATAGTTATTATCGTTACTATTAACTCTTTAACCAGAGCAGTGTCATTCAGACGGACATGTTTGTTCCAAATTACGTGCTTTATCGTTTGAGAACACGTTTCATAAGATTATAAATCAGCAAGTGAACCTACAGAAAGCAAGTTAGATAAAAATGATTGCTTATCTTTAGCAAACCATTTGGATATGAATGAAACATTTAAACGAATCTTTGGAGTTTGTCTTTTCCTTTTAAGTCGTTCGTTCTATTCATAACATTTTAGTTATTGAATATATTACTCCATAATTCTAACGCAGTCTCCTCATTGTGTGATGGCCATCTAGTTATCAACAACAACAATAACTTAAGCAATGTGGGAAACACCAGAGGTAAATATAGACCACCACATGTCACATGTTTAACAACTTCGATAGTGAATACGTTGAAAAACTTCATTCTTTTACGCAGAATATAGTGAAAAGAAATTTTATTTAACGTTTGTAAGTTTTACATAAACTCACTCGTTTATAGCGGTTGGAGCAATAGCCATCACGCTTATTTGTAGGGAGCGATTAGAAAAGCAGTCAAAATGGCAGGATATTTTTTCCGCTACTTTGACATATGTCTTGCAATGAATGATAACGGATTTAGTTTAAATGCACTTGTTCTTAAGCAGTATTAAAATTTTGCCAATTGCTCTTGACCAAAAATTGACCGATCATTTTCGGTTATCTCAAAGATTTGTTTTTTGATTTGTCCAATTATAAATTTATGTTGTTTGGCTTACATCCTGAAGTAAACTGCTGACTATTTAATTTCTATACAGCGATAACCAAAAACAACATCAACCTCAGCAGCATCGAAAACACCAAATGTGAGTTTGCTTACGCTATAATATCACATTGGATAATACAAATGAATCACTAACAAACCTTCACGTGTATGTTTTCAATGTAGTTGTCGTCTGAGTGGTTCACTATTAGAAGCAGTGTATTTCTCATGGATACAGTTCTTTTTGGTAAAACCCCTAAAAAATTTCCTTTGATAGTTAATTTTTCCTGTATTTTCGTGTAAAATATACGCGCTCTATTTTTAACAGTCGTACTCCAGTTGAGGTCAATAATGCCCCTATTTGTTGCCAGATCGCAGTTATGCAGATTTGAAACAAAAATTGGCTTTGTTCGTTATTTATTACTTAATTTGTTGTTTTTCCTTAAATAATAGCTTTCAGCACTAATCATTACTTCATTCTTAAACACATATGTTAATAACGTAGAACAAGTTAGCAGTGACTTAAATGTTAATAGCAACGTCAATTATAGGTGTCGATCGTATATCCGCCAGGTTAAAATGCATACATACGGTAAATAACAATATATAAATACCATTATCTTTCATCATAGAAAGAACGTCTGAGCAACTGGAATAAAAACAAAGCTTGCCTTACGGCTTTTCGTATCGTGTGTTGTATAAACTTACAGCCGTATCGCGGGTGGCTAACAACGTCATAGCCAATCTACAGTTCGGTACGTATATTACGAAGCTGTACGAGGATATAATTGCGCCAGACTCGAAAGCAAGACGGCAGGGGACAAATGTAGATGTTCGTCTTCACATTGATATCGCTTTCTCTCTCTTTCTCTATACATACCTACGATTTGGAGAAAAAAAATTATGTCGGTTTCATAAGGGGCTGTTGTAACCTTACGTCAAAAACATATTTTTCTAGTCACCAAAAATATGCAGCCTCCTTCATTTCGCCTGATGGACCTAGAACCTTCACGCGCCGTAGCAACCACAGTTACCGGTGAGTCCAATTTGTTATTGAAAAGCTGTACGAAGTCGACTTAAACGCCTAATAACCTATACGATAAATGTACTTCACAAGTCCAGGAGCTGCAGCTCCAAAAATTACGAACAGAACAGAATAAAAAGCTTACTACAATCTATTATCGTTATCGATCTTTGCCAACGCCTTGATATTGTTAACACTAAAAAAATGATTCTTTTGAGATAATGATTTTATTAAAGATAATATTTGTTTGTTACCCTATTATTTACAGTTAACGGAGATGCGTTAATGCAAGGCAGCAGTTATGTTATACGTAAGTGTCGCTCTTCAATTTATTTAAGAGGGCTTCGCTTTCAAGTGATTAACATGTATGTAGCAAAGAATTATCGTGGCTTAACAATTTGATCTGCTATACGTTCTGTAGGGGCTAGAGACAGAATAACTATTTTGTGTGTTAGCCTATTGCAAGTCTGTCGTGTTGCCATCACTAGTCGATTGCTATTATTCCATTTCGGCCAAAATGGACGCCGCGTTCGCTTCATATATTGGTAGTAAGGGCAGCTGCTGCTGCTGAGCATCCGCACTGAAAGTCAAACGCTTTGAAACCCTATTTTAAAATCCTTTACAAATAGGGTCTACAATCTGTATTACAACTTAGAAAGAAGACTTAATTATTATCATTAAGATCAGCGTGTTTTCGCGTCCTTCAATTTGGCTAATCGCATTCAACATAGTGTTTCGCCATATGACCCTTTGTCGGTCACTGGGGCTTCGTACGAAGCTCATCAGAACCATTCAGATATCGACACGAAACAGGTTCTAAATGAACAGGGGTGAACTTAATGCCATAACATATAGTACCAAGTTATAAAGCGGGAATGTCTTTGAGCCACTAACCACTACGAAAGTAGAGTATAATCGAAAGTGCTTGACAAACGGTTCTTTCCATAACGAGTGGACATGCTCTTGTTTGTGAGATCGGCGCTGAATTCTTTGCTAATAGTGTTCCTTGCTCCCTCATGATGTGCTTGAAGATCACATAAGAATCTATAGTGTTTACGTGGTCTTTAAACAATCTTCAATTCACTTTTACATTACATACGTAGAAGTACGTAGTGTGGAAGAAAGTAAGCCTAAGCTGTGTGTCCGGCACTATAGGGTGGCCTGCCATCGTAAACACCCTGTATGGCACTAGTGTAATTGATGCTAAAGTTACTGGGCACTTATTCTGGCTGCCTGCATCGCTTCCGCTTCTTTTTTGTGTACTTATGGTTTATGCAAGTGCAAGCCATCTGAGGTCTGTACTATTTCTCTGCACTGGCCACGTTTGTATTCCGACTGTTGTGTGAATACGGTGAGGATCAGCCAGGTTGTCCTGTGAGCACATGTGTCGCCCTCAAGGTAGACAAGGCGAGAGTTTGAAGGTCATTGCTAATAATAATAATAATAACAACCTTTATTCTACATTTACAGTTTAGTGTCGCAAGTTGTGGCTTGTAAGCCAAGTAAACAGATCTTTGACTACAATATGCTTTATAACAGCTTTTCCTTGCGTGTTTTCACCCTTCTGAGTATACGTCAAGCCCTGCAAAAGAAGCGGTCGGCACTGTTGTTATTTCGTTTAGACATTTTCGCATTATTTTTTTTCTATTAATTGAGTTAAATCATTACAAGCGACATCATGCAGTTTGATACTACAACAGTAGGCAACATATCGGATAAAGCTTCCTCCGCATTTTCAAGATTATAGCTTTTCTCCTTTTTGAACCTATATTTCACAGTAGTGAAACAATGGACATAATAGGACAAAAAGAATTAACTGTAGCACACAGCTGTGAGTAAAGTTCATTAGAACAAACGTTCACATCGTCCAGTCGACTGTTCGTGTGACAATAACTGTAACATCTATGACATGCATGCAGCGCATTTGAAAAGCGGCGGTAACTACATCTAGATCCTGTATAGACCTTGTTGAGATAATTTCTTTCTGAAAACAGCGATCAAGATTGGGGGCTTGAACAGCAAAAATATGATATATATACATATACACACACACACACACACACACAGAGATCTATATATATATATCACGATCTTGGCACAGGTAACTTAAGATTAAGACTAAAAGAAAGACCATTTTCATTTGGATTCATTCAGACGGTTGTTAGAAAGCAGCCGTTTGCTGTGCGTATTTGAATAAGATGTCGAAATACATTTGCACATCTTTGAGCAAATAATATTTCACTATTTTCCCTCTCGATCGAAATCTAAACTGTTAACAGGAGATGCGGAAAAATACAACAACGGGTTCTAAGAATTTCATATACTTGCGACTTCGGAATTTTCTTTCAGACCGAAAGAAAGAAAGTGTTTATAGGACTCGTCCTATTTTCGAAGTGTCTCATCTAACAATGTTTCGTTGCTTTTGTACCTTTCTACTGTAAAATGTGTGGTAATTTGATGTTTGTAATAGTTGTTTTAGTGTCATCAGAGGATATAGGCAGAATAACGAGCTACCTATTGAGGAACTAACTGTTCCGCTTGTAAATGCGAACCGCTGACAGGTAGTTACTTAAGGCACTATTAATCACTTTCGGTTATATGTCCCAGGATCGAGCCATAGTGGATATTGTCAATTGTTGCCATACCGGTTAATAGCAAGTCCACAGGGAAAGCTTATGTTATACTAGTTCAACCAATGACACTGGCTGCATGTTGATTATGAAACATATATCCATGTCAAATGTGTTTTTATCAGCATATAGATGTACTGCTACTAAAGATCATTGTGTAACACCTACTTAAAATATAAATTGCGCTCTGTATGCTTCTTTTCGCATTTTCAGTAAGTGACAGGGCCTTCCTTATTCAGCATCTGGATGTCCACAGTAAGTTTTTTAGACAAAGGTTACCACATGCGGAAACCCACATGAAACAATTTTTCAAAAAATCGAACAAAATTCAAAATACACAGATGCCATATGTTGAGACGTTCTCAACGATCGGCGACAACGTAAGCTAGGCTAGTTATATAGGATGTACAATGATAGAAACACCAGTATCAATATAATTATATTGATTTACCATTAGCCAAACGTCCATTCGAAGCTGATTATCCGATACGCTACTGCAGCTACAAGTTAGCTCAAAAAAATTCGAGTAAACTTGTTAGCTTTTTTTGTTCTCTTAGGAATCTACCAGAAGTTTTGCGATGGCGTATTATAGATCCACTATTACATGTATTATTAAGCTCAAATATTATCAGAATGAGTAGGGCTCAACGCATTTCCCGTGTAGACGACGGAAGTTTCGGTTTGTCTTTTAAATGACGACATTACGGTCTGCTTTTCTACCTGTGCTCATCTGCACCCCGCGTAACTAAGAAAGCGCAAGGCGACATAAAAAATACATCTAACTGTACTGGTGAAGTCTAGTCAGAGGGCGAAATGATCTCTAATGCTTTTTTGTGTAAATCAGTATTATTTATGTCGAACTTCGAACGTACATTTTATTTTATAGTAAATAGCTATAATGGGAACCATTAAGAAAATATTTTTTCAAAACATTTTAGCGGAACAACAAGCTGAACAAGCGAGAACCCCACCGTGAAACACCACCTTGTGCAATAGTAATCAACTGAAGGAAAATGTTAGATTTTATCTACTGTGAATTAGCTATTTTCCAGTACGCCTCAGACTCACGACATCCCGAGTAGTTTAACTGTTATATTTTATAGAAAAAGGAGTGGCCCTCTGACGGAAATGCAGGCTGTTATAATTCATGTAACAGCTTTGTATAGAAAGAAGGTCAGTATGTTATAAATAATATTCTAGAATAGATGATATGCTTGCAAAAATTTAAATAATCTTTAAAACGAACTTAAAATTTAGAGTCCAACCTGTTTATCGATATGTTTGGGCGATTTAAAAATGTTTCCTTACATTATGAAACTTACGCTACATTCTTTCTAAGTTAAGTTGGATAGTTTTATAAAATATGATAGGTAATAAATACTTCAAGCTTCCTTTCAGTGCCTCCCCAATACAAGTATCCTTCAACTGACATCACGGTGGAGATAACTGGTAAGGAACAATTAGCAATAGAAGTACTACGTATCTGATTGAAGATAATAGTAGGTTTTAAGGGTGCATTTTATGCGTACTGTTCAACAGACTGAATGAGTTTCGCAGATAATGAGAGTGATTATATTAGAGTACTGAGTAAGACCCAAACTACGTGGCCATGGGTAGACTCGGCCTACGACTCCCGGATTTAGTATATGATCTTCCCGGAAATCGATCTGTGATCGGCTATCGTAGCAAAAGGTTTACATTTTTATTATCACTTATTTTTATATTATCCCACTGAATAGCTTATGATAACATATAAAAAGTTCATATAGCTGGACATCATGAGAGCACATCCGAGAGTTTCCTGCCGAAAATTGACATGATCGGGCAATACAATCGTAGCGTGTATCACATTGATAAAGCTTGTTTTATTCTGAATTACTTTAGTCCAGTAGCCTGAATAACAGTGGTTCAGTTCTAAACGTATGTGCGTCGGCATATTCTATATTGTTCATTTTTAAAAAATCATAAACGTTTTTATATAAACATATTACATAATACTTGTGCGTCCCTCACTACTACTACTACTACTGATAACTGTCATAGAAGCAGACGTAAGGTTCGGACGAACGGTTACAATAGAAACGCAATCAATTCTCAGCTCGAATGATTTGCTCGATATTTCAGTCACAGATCGACCACAGCCAAGTCACAAACAGGATCAAAGGATTACGGTACTCTTCAATGGAGAAGACATTCGCAATGAATTTGCGCTTGTTTGTAAGCATTACTTTCGAAAAGTGATATAATCATTATAACGGCAACTTTATAAAGGTATGATGAAATCACAAACTTACACTGCCAGTCAATCAACCGTCTGAAGTTAATGTGGGGGTCGATTTCGACCACAATTCTTGTTTCTAAAGGCTAATTGAGTTTATGACTTCTACAGAACGTTTGTATAACTGTGTTCATCGTACTTCAAGCTGTCTAAATTAATTACGGGAATATTTATAGTACAGCTAGTTTGAACACAAGCACAGCAACAGCGCGCGCGTACGTTATTTCTTTTTATGTTAATAAACTTCCAAGAACCGTTCACAAACACTAGGAACGTCCGCTTCATACTCTCGAAACAGTTTCCATGGGTCTATAGAAGTGCAAAGTGTTCCCAAACTGATTCTGCAGACTTAGTTGATATGAAAATTAAGTAATAGCTATTGTTGATATAAAACAACTTGGTTAATTAGTATATTATTATTATTATTAGTAGTGAGTCTGAAGTGCGTGTGCAGACTCATTCTAGATATGTCACCGTTGAAGTTCTTACAGTGGTAGCATATTTCGAAACGGGGCTAAACTTTTTCGTACGAGAATCCCTATCCTTGGCTAATTCCTTACCTCTTTTGGCCATTTTAAGGATGCTTATTATACATTTAAGCACGCTTGTTTTAAAATGCAGTAGACAGAATTTATGAATCTAATTTGACATGTACGATAGTTCTAAGCTTTCCCCAAAAAGCTACTTCCTATTTAAGTACAAGGCTACAGCGTCAGTAGTTGATAGTTGAACGGCAGGAGGAGCATTATGTGTTACACAACTTTACCAACTCGAAAATACAGTATCGTATGATGCTTTTTATGAGAGAAATGTTTTTGCAATCAGTTTTTCTTGCATCAATTAAAATACTTTATCTAATTATATAATGAGGTAGCGATTACTGAATATTTTATATTCGAGCTTGTAACTTGTTAATTTACATCAATGCCATCATTATGTTTTCAGTGCAAAACAAATTGATTCCACCAGGAACAGTATCCATCAGAGGTATGAAGTATTCCTACAAAAAAAAAAACAAAAAAAAAAAGGATAAGGATGTTACCATACGTGCTGATATGATAATGATAATTGTGTTGAATGATAAATGTGTAGTTGTTGTTGTTGCGCTAATCGCCACTTGTTAACAGAATGAAGCAAATACCTGTTTTTATTTTTGTAACGACTACAAAATAGTTGTACTTTGGACCGTTAGACATAAGGCGAACACGTCCACGAAGAATAGGATATCGATCAATAAAGATGACAATCAGCAAAGGCTAATGAAGTTTTGATGGAACACCTCAGACTGCCCCATCGGCTATCGCATATAGCGGTTTCCTTTTCACTAGAACTTTTTAGCAGTAATGTTCGGTCTATAAAAGAATCGAGTCTTCGGCGTGTTGTTTCAATTCAGTGATTTGCTCTATGATTCTGTATTTGAACTGTAAAGTTGTTGATAGTAGAAAGACGCTTTTACCCATCAGAAAAGATCATCGTCCTGTCTCCGATTGCTTTTGATTTTCAGTGAATGGTCAGACCGTGTTGGGTGACATTTCCTTAGATGCGATTACGTTTCCGTCCAGTGATAGAGTAGGTGAGTCACGGTATAATATCCGGTCTCATAGCAGCATGAAGGGATTAAGTTGTAAAGGGTTCTCAATCTTAAGTATGCCATGTAGGAAGAACGATCGAATTGCTTAACGCCAACAATACAAAGTATGTTTGGGGTCACCATCTTGAATAAGGGCTTACCAAGCACAAAGGTAAAGTGCTTGCTTTACAATGAGATACATGTTGATTTTTTTCGCTTTAGTTTCTGTCAAATTCTGTTTACCAAGCGAACATATATGATGCCTAAGGCAGATGTTTACGTGTTACATTTTCATTTGTGTCATTATTTTGGATATATGCATCTGATAAGGAAAATCTTACACGAATTCATGAGCATTCTCCAATTAATTTGTCTCAAAATTACGTCGAAGAATGCCTGGAGAGGCTAAAAATGCTTCACGTATCACAGCTCAAATTCAAAGGGCCTTATTTTTCGTAGGCACGGAGTTCCCCCCCACCGGAACTGCTATATTTCAAAGTACGTACACGAAACGTATCAGTATGCTATACAAATTAGTTAATTAGATGGATAAACCTTTACCAATGAAGAAAAGTCACTGAAGTTCAATAAACTCGGCAAATTTTTAGCGTCTTAGAAGTCTCGAAAAAACATGTATATGAAATGCGAGATCGTGCTTAGTCATATGTTTTCTAATTCGATGTTGTTACTTCTAACCGCAGTGAATGGAGGGCCGATTGAACCTTACACGTTCAGCGTCGAAAGTAAGTAACAAAGTCGCGTCCGTTTCTTTCACTCGGAGTTAAAAGATGAACTGCAAAACAGAAAATGGCACACCTGCGAGCTAAACACTGAAACAATTTATAAATATAAAATGTTCCTTCTGTAATAACTCTCCGGCAGTATTCACAGTTCCTTGAAAACCTTCTGTGGTAAAATCCAACATATCCTTGATAAAAATCGTCTAGGCAACATGTGAACACAAATGAGTTAATTAGTGCTCCAACAATGAGTATTTTATATTGCTTACAGTTCGAGAAAATGCGGCGCCCGTGGAGGGCATCACAGTAACAGGTGCGTTAAGAGGTGGTTCTAGGTGGCTTTTGGCTTAACCCGGGTTCTGACTGAAAAGTACTATTAGACGATTTATGAAGACGTTTCCTATAGAAGATTTCTCAGGTAACAGTCAGTAGAACAACAGTTACTGTTCAGTTGTGGTCGAAGCTTTAATATCATCGATCTGTCAAATTTCTCTAGTTACAAAACCGTTACGAAAATAGGATATTCGAAGCGACGAACGCTTCTTAAGTTCTATTGCCTTAACAGTTCAAAGACCGTAAAAACATACATCTTCAAAGTAAGTTAGTTCAAGCTGCACCCGAATTGGGCTAACGAACATCATTGCTTTAAAGCAAACAGTCGGAAGCCTATGGACGTGATTTTCATACGTATGATTCTATAGGGATCCTTCGATTCGAGTAATGAACGCATTATAATAATAATAATAAACTAATCATGTACGTTTTTTAATTGAGCGTCTATATAAGGTAAACGTTGTGATTATAGATGACGAATATGGTCTTTGCTAAGAACGTTACCTTGTGTAATTTCTACTTTGGTGTTTAGAGGATCAACCTTAAGCTAATCCAATGATAAACTGTTTAAGACTCCAAATACGCGGAAAAACGTACAAAAAAATAGATTTAAACGCAGGAGAGGGCGTACAGTTAGTATTATTCATATTTTTTTTTTTAGTATTTATTGGAACTATTCTAAGATTAGGCTTAACGAAATGCAAACGAAAGGTATATAGAAAAAACAATATCTCTTGTTGTCACAATGGGGCCACTGTGTATTAGACCTTTTATCGTTCATATTTGTTGTCTGGTGATACGTTAATTTATTTGTCAAAGAAAAAAACATTCGGAGTCAGGATGAACGCATTCGCGCAAAATTCGAATTAAATCCCGTGTGACTGCGGCGCTGCATACATCAAAACATGATTACAATGGAAACCCTAAACATAATGGTTGTGCTGGCTGTATCTCTTGCTCGCAAGCATTATATTAACGACCATCGCAAAACAGTAAAAATGAATTGTTGCATAAAAAGAGTCGTAACCTAAAATTATACTGTACCTTCTAACACGAACGATAAGAAGCGGGCAAATAGAAAGCTATCTGTTATTGTAGAAGGAAAATGCCAAAGGGTTGTGCAAAGTTGGCTTGATTGAAGTTTTATAGCTTCTGTGCATATGTGAGATTCATTATAATCATTATTATTACTATATAACTGTTCCGGGCACTCTCCTTAGATATCCGTGGTCGCCCGCTTGCCGGAATGGTCGATATTGAAGGTAAGTAGAAATTTATCAGGTTTTTTTAGGGACACGTTTTGACTAGGCTCGTAGTCGGACGTAGAAAACCTAACGGCAATACCGGACATAAAACTTGAAACACAGAGGTAACTAAAAATAAAAAGCGAATTATTTATTCTTTTAAGTACTAAATGGTATAAAGCTATTATAGAAATGCATTTTTAGATTTGCAACGAATAGAACCATTTTTATTGTTAGAAGCATACAGAATTGAGGCTGTGCACAAGAGCCTAAGCTGCGCATATGAGAGACCAACAAATAGACGTCAACAACCTGTGAATACACAAAACGTTTCTCCAGTTTAATGGCTTGAAAATAGCTTTGCAAAAACGCAGACATTTATAATGGAAAAGCAAACAATGGAATAGTCTATCTGTGAAGGGTGCTACCTGAAACATGAATTGAGCGGCATGGTATTGGTTCGTTACTTTTTTTTTGTATGCGTCGCCCTGGTGTCCTGTAACTAACAAGCATGCGGCCATGTTGGTTTAGGCTTTAGCATCGGGAAAAATGAAAAATTATTATTATTAATATTGATAGCTGTTTGTATGGTTGCCATACCATTCCATAGGCCTATTGGAGAAACTCCAGGTAAGCCTAGTAAGCCCCTTGATGCCACACCCAGGAAAGAAATTATTTCAAGGACTTGTTCACATGAAAATAATACTTGAAAATCTGAACTTAAAAAAATTGAATTATTAAGTGCTTATTAATGACGAATCCTTTTTTTTTATATATATTCTTCTTATTTACGTAAAAAGTTAGAATACAGGCTGAACTGCTTAGGTAGATGATATTAAGGCAAATCTCGTAAACATTTGTTTTCATTTGTTCCGCTAATAGAGAAGCTAGCCTAGAACGGATAAACGCATATTTCTTTAGGTCCTTCGTATTTCATCAAATCATCTGCAGTCAAGCTACAAGGTGATTTGATTCATATGGCACCTTGAAGTCTTAAGTACAAATACCGTACTCGGAGTCGGAGATCTTGTTATGCTCATTTGTCCGCTCTCCAATACCGTAGTTCTGTTTTCAATTTCATTGCACCGTATGGATCGAGACGCTTTGCTGCATGGTCATAAATTTATCAGTACACACATACACATATACGTTGCCCTTTATCGAAGTTGTCTCTAATTAAAAATGCAAATGCTTTCTTCAAATTCTAGTGGTTGAAGATAACAGAAAGACTCCACATGCCATTACTCTTGTTAACGGGAAGGATTCCAGGGCCACATACAACATTCTAAGTATGTATACGTGTTATGGGTATTGTTTGATTTCCTGCTTGCACAAAAACCCAGTCTCTAATCATCAATACTATTATCAGCACTTACTTGTTGATTTAACCCATTTTAGATGCGTACACTGGTTTTTATCGTAGTACTATTTGCCTTATTTGTCGCGCGTACGATGGCTACAATGGATAGGAGCATAATCGTTAAGTCACACCGTGAGTAGATGGAAAGAGTAGCAAGCTATGCACGTGCAATAAACAAAAATATGTATTTATATGGGCCTCATATCTGAACTGCCTAATTTGTTTTTGTACTTGTGATTTTAGTTAAAGGCAAGCAAGTATCTGCAGACGACCTGATATTTAAGGTCAACGGTGAACCGCAGATGGTTATTGTAGATTTTGCCGTTTCTGAAGAAGTCATCTCTAAACTTGAGAAGAGCTCTTGCCGAGCAGCCGTTGTACCGTCAAAAATAGGTGGACTGTCACCTAAAGGCTTAATATCATATTAGTTTTTAGCTGATCGAATTGTAACTGCTACTATTTTAATTACCGTGAATTTTATTCTACTGGAGGAAACGAGCTACGGAAGCAAGCGACAAAGCGCTTTCTCATCGAGATCCCATCGGGGCATCGATGACATCCCGATCCCAACGAAGGCCTCGGTCGTGAAACAGCTTTTCATGGAAGTTCAGAGTCCACAAGCTTCCACATTCGGATCTAGATGGTAAAACCGGTGTTGGCTGGCAACGATTTGGATTAACTGTATAACGTAAGGTTGTCGTTAAAAATAAAGAGGTTATTATCTGAAGCTAGCTTCGCAGAACTATAATCTAATAAAGTACTTCATTTAACACTGTCCATAGGTCGCACCAAACAAACTAAAGAGCGTCATGCCAGCAACATATCGTTGGTGGGGACATTGCTGAGAGAAAAACTCAGCATTACGATGTGGCCGACACCTATTCCGATACTTCATATCATATACCTATACTCCTATTTTCTTTCCATATTCATTAAATTAGGAACAATCGTCGAATATTTAGTATTTTTTTTTTAGTAAAGCTTTTTTTTGTTTTACCCAATCCAAGTAATAATGGTTTATGGCAAAAAACGCTTTGTGATCAGAAATATGTACATACTAGTTTACTAACTGGTAGAGATTTTTCCAATATTGTCTTCTACCCTTGGTTATATATACTTCATTTATTACAAACCAATAGACCAAAAGTTTGTCAAAGTTACTGCTATCCGTCCCTTCGATGGCTTCCTTAGATAGGCTGCTGCTATCGAGATGAATGCTTGTTTTTTTGGGAATATAATTGATATTCTGGGTTCTGTGGTTATTGTCTCATTTACCGCACATTTTCTAATACATGAACCGTATATGATACTCCTCATACCGTATGCAGGAAACGTTATCCTGCTGTAGGCACAGGATGCTGACAAATCTCTTCACGGTTGCTCATAACTCGCGTCGCATAATTCAAGGCCACCGAATGGCCTAACTTTAGATATAGTGGTTTTACCTTAACTAGCATTTATAATTTGCGATAGTGGCGACAATATAAAAATATCTCCTCAACATCTTATTTCTATTAGAATGGTGGTATCAATCTGGTAGCAGGCAAACATATTTATATTCGTCAATACATTTGGCGCTTTTCTACTGCCACGTGCCCACTCGGTACGAGCTCCCATAGACAAGAATCACCATAGAATTATAAAAGCTCCTGCTTAACTCTCATCAAGAAAAATTAACTACTTTTCTAGAACTGTATACTTAAACTGGGTCCGTTTGGACATGCCATATTTTTCTACAGGTCAAACTGACCCGGAACTCGGACTTCCTTATAATATTATGTTATTGATTTGCCTTTAGCTAGAAAACGAAATACTAGAGAAACAGATTTGCGATTTTTTAAAAAAATCGATCGTGACCTATGGAAATAAACGGGTTCGGTCTCAAAAAAGCCAGAGAGGTTTCTAATGCGGCTGCATCTTTGACCAGTGTTTTTTTTTGTATAAACGAAAAAGACGAAAGCGGTTGTTGGGCTAGTATGTATTTCGGCTGGAGGGAAGCATATTTATGGGGTGCAACAAATAATGTCATTTTGGTGAAACATCTTGATCGCTTTGAAGAAGCATGGGAGGCTCCTTCTACCGCACACGCATCGCAGTCTTACAAGCCTTACTATGAAACATGAGCAAACGGCTCCTCATTCCAGTGCCATAGCCAAAGACCTTCTGGTCCTTAATGATCGTTTTTGGAGCCTGGCAAACAATTTCGTAGTCTATCATCAAATACGATTGAAAGGCATCGTTTCAACGAAAGCGCGTATTTCTTTGCGGAGTGTTCAATCAGAACATACGCCATTCTAGCTAAACAATTGAACAACAATGACCGACATTTGTCTTATTCGGAAAAAGGGGCAACTTTGTCCCCAACGTATTCCGAATGTCTGTCATTCAATATAAAGGATGAACTTGCCTAATCCGGTTGTAGCGACTTAGGTAAAGTCAATGCAATTCGGCTTCCTGACGTGACTTGGAAAGCTAGGCCGTAAGTAGGTCCTGATATTGTTTGGAAAGTAGAATCTTCGTCCGTGAATATGCTTCGAACTTAATTTACTACACTATGGGCCTAGACCCAAGAGAAACTCAATGCGAAGTGCAAAACCACAGCCAATAAAGAGGGATTGAACATTTGAGTGGTTGGCAGTGCACATAACTTTTATAGGAATATGTGTAAAAAAAAAAGAGAGACGAGACTTGGCCTTAGGCTCCGCAGCCAGAATATGCAACAGCATGGTAGAATACGCGAAATGTAAATCGACAACAGTAGTAGCGTATGTCGAATATGTCTAGCGATTACCTATCCGTTCAAGCCTGCAGTTATTTCATATCTGCATATCTTAGCTTTTCCTCGCATTTTCCACCCTCTTCTGTGTTCAAACGCTAGACAAAATGTTTAAAAGTCTACTGCTTCGTGGACTGGTACAAAGCCCAAATTTAGTAATCGATTACGGAAGTGATCAACGGCTTACGCAACATAAGCGCGCAGTGGATAGTTCATAGTAATTTTGGTGGCGTAACAAGGAAATCGTGTTGAGGGTCGACTATAAGCATAGTAATTCAGGGCTGTCTTTCGATTTCCTACTTCAGTAATACGCTACCATATAAATAAAGAAGCAAAAAAAAATTTCGTGTGTTGTCTTCCCATTGCCAGCCACAACACGGACATTGGGTCAAGATGAATGGTCTGACCATGCGGTCCAGTTTGAGGCGGACGACAACAATAGTCGACCTGCATTATCAACAGCCATAAGGTGAACGAGGAGAATAAAATTACTGGTAACATGTAGACAGAACTGTCTAGTTATTTAGGTAGCGAATATCTATTACAAGTTCTAGTACTCTAGGCCAAAATATCAGATTGTTTGTTTCAAATCTCCCATTTAATCACGGCAGGACCAACAACTAACGAAGGTTTCTCGTAAGTCGAAAATATTTACACTCTTAGCTACCGGTTATCAAAGAAGCGTAAAGTTTACTGATTATCGGCTTCAACTGCGTTGCGAATTCTCTTAACCGTGTGTCACTATACTCCGCTTATAATTTTCTAGTAGTAAACAGCGCTACTAGATGTTTCAAATTCTCGATCCGGTGCCGCCATTAAGCATTACGTTACCCGCTACGCCGTCACGTAAATATGAAAAATATTATTGCTTGATATTGGCTCAACCTATTACTGGGCATTGGCAGAATATTTTGTATGCAAAACACCAATTCGGTGCGCTCACCTTTGGCTCCCAACGAAGTGGTACATTTACTGACTACAACACAAATCGGCTTTGTCCATCGGTTCGCTTTACGATTGAAAAAATGGGTTGCCATTTCATAAACATATTCCCCAGAACGTTGAATAGTTATCGGGTTTACCTCGGTGATAGTAGGTGATACAGTTTACCCGTTATTTCGCTATCATTACTGTTAGAAAAAACTGCAGCTAGCTCCATATTTGAAATGCAAGCGGGGCGAATCGTTATTTTATTACCCCGTATGCAAGGCTGACAACGTTGCGGGTAAAAGCAAATAGACTTTCGTTGATATTTAATTCCAGAATTAGGTGAGAAACAAACCCCCTATGGCTCACGGTGGGTAGAAGTTGATTCTTTGGCCGCTTGCAAACTTCCCGATTACTCTACGATAGAAGCAAAGGAAAAACAATGTTGGCAAACGTATTTCGTCTACGAGCTTGGCCAAGGCTACAGCATAATTGTCAGCGGCGACATGACTGATGGCTTTCATCAATCTAAAATTTCCTAATGTCGGTTGATGACAGCGACCGCAGGCCGTCGCGAACAATCGCGGAATTTCGGTCCTGTAGGTAAAGCTATCTTCGGCTGTATCTTCAAAATCATAAGCTCAGCTATTTGCGCTAGCTCGTATCGCTCGTAAAGGGACCGGCCGCTCAGGAACTGGTGACAGAGAACGGCTGATCAGGAACCACGCAATGTATTTAACTTAATATGATCGCCATAGAACCGGTCTATGACAAATCGATGTTGTGTATTAATGTATTTAATAGCAAACGAGATATGAACATGCTAAACGAATTTCTCCTCAAAATTCAGCAAATCAGAAACTCGTCAGGTTAAAAATACGAGTCTTCAGTGATATCTTTTGTGTGAACTGCAAGAAGTTGGATAAAAAAAACACGGGTAGGGTAAGTATATGGTGAAAAAAGTCGGCCAAGACTATCTGACACAGGTCTACTAAAGGATAGAAATAAAAATACAGCTGTTTCAGATAAGGACAACAGGGATCACGTTGGAATCGGTAACGTCCCAATTGCAGATGGCTCAGCCGTGCGAGCATCAGCGAAGGCTACCGCAGTATGATCTGAAACACGGTGGCTAGAGGATCATCCAATTGCGGTTTCGGACCGAGCGTTAGTAGCTAAAAACAGGCTCCACTAAAACATAAATACTTCAATATTTTTGTTCGGCAAAGAAATTTCCATTCGGATGATATACTTGAAGAATAGAGCCAATTTGTTTGCAGGGACGATATCGAAAGCGTTTTGAAAGCTACCGTATGTGCATGGAGTAATTTATTAAAGCTACCCAAGGAGCACCACTCAATAACATGAGAGATTTTAACACCACTTACAAGGTTTTTATACCTGTCTTGTTATTTTTCTATTGCAGTGTGGGTGCAGAATTATCGTAAAGGTCGGATATCGCCAGAAAATGCCTCAAATGCCTTTAGCTATTTAAAAGCATGGCAGGAAATAACTGGGAGTAAAGCAAGCCTTTCGCATATCACATCGTTAACGTTTCCTTCCCTGAAACACGCATTCTGCTTTTTCTGGAGTAAACAGAACCTAAATCAGATAATTAGCAAATAATTTAGTATTATCAACGGAACGTTGATTGATAGATTTCAGAAATTGGCTAAAAATTAAATGCTCGAAATTGCGCTATCGATCTGGTCAGAGGCTAAGTAATTAGAGAAAATCATATATTTCTATCAGTAGTTTTAGAATACTGGACAAGGCTGTGAAGACTGGACACGCTCAATGTTCGGCCGTATTGAACAGGCGGGTTGAGCCTGCCCAAAGTAGGGGCGGCTTAGCAACTCATGTTTTTGCAACCTTCAGCCATTAATTACCTGCTATGTCTAAAATAAACTGCAGGCTTTAAAGTGATGGGCGCAGGCAAACATTTTCAACCCGCAATCAATTCAAAGCTTAAACCGTATGGATCGAGAAATTATATTAAGACCAGATACGATGAACCTGCTTCCATGACCAGCGAATCCAGTGAGCAAATCAAATCTTATCGGTTTAAAGGAAAGTAAATTAGGTTAACGACCTTGGTCCTGCAGGTATTTCACCTGCTGCCATGTAAATGCCTAAGAAAATATTTCAGATCTTACTTCCCTGTTGCGCTGTTGATAGAATGGCTCTAAGTACCTGCAGTGTTCTATATATTATTTTTCAAAACACCTAAAAAAACCTGCAAGTAGCAAATATATATGACCATTGATGACCTATATAGTTTCGTCGGTAGACACCTGAAACGTATTGG